CCGCTTACGACTCCGGCATGCTACTGCAGTCATCGTGTACATTTGCCCAATTGTCCCTTTTGAAAGAGTCTCCCTTTGATCTGGTTCTTGACTGCGACAGTTTCGAAGAACTAGATCTAAACAGCGGTACCATTCCGGTGCCCCAGTCTTGATAACTTTTCGGACATCTTTAAGGTCGATATCCCATTCGTGGGCGGTATCAGGATCGAAGGTATCAAAGTATTTGTATTCGGCCAAGCCATCAAGTTCTTTGAGGAGAGGTTGCCAATTATGGCGGCTTGAAGGGGGATGCCCAATAACCTCACGGATTTCCTCCTCTTCTAAGAGTTCACGGAATATTCCAACCCTTGTAGACCTCCCTAAGGTACCATGGTGCCTATCCGATAGTAACCAGGCGCGGAGGAATTCTTTAAACGTGAACCGCTGCTCTCGCCACAGATACAATGTTTCGCGTAATTTATCAAATGGTTGAAGTTTTTTTTTCCTGCAACACGCCGAATCTGCCGATATCTAGTAGGGGATCGTCTTAGGGAAGGGCGTTTTGGTCGGGGAGTCGAACCTGAGGGTGAAGACGAGGTAGAGGGCGAGGATGATAAATATGTCTCATCTGGCGGTATCGAAGATAACTCGCTGGAGATGAAGGGTGGGGTCGACATGGTGAAAGGGAAGATGATACGTTCTTGGACTGTGGAGTGGTTGGATTGGTCCTGAAACTTGATGAAATGTAGAAGTCAAGGGGTAGAATCAATTTGTGAAAACAGATTAGCGATAAACATTATGTATCAAGCACACTTAGCGATAGGAGTTCTCTCACCTATTTCATGATATGAAGCTGTACACCTCCACACAAACTATGCAGACGTCTCTCAGACGGCAGTTGTACCAACTGCCTTGATGGCGTATGATTGGTCAATATTTAGTGGCACATGCTAAAGAAGAGGCTGGGCTTTAATGGGTATAGCGGATCCCCATAATGGCCAGGGGGTACCATTGCCGCCTGAGTCCCAACTGAGATAAGATCTGCACCGTTCCAGCAGACTTGCTTGGAGGAGGGTCCGTTTTTGGACTTCCAATTCTCGAGTTCAGTTTTCGACCTTCGCAACCTCTATGGTTCCATGCTAATTTCGGAAGCATGATGGTGTCAAATGCCATGGCTCCGCCGCGGAGTCTCCATCTGCTTTCGCGTATAATAACCACTGCCCAGGTCCGTCGCTTAATGGATCGCTCTGTCATCCCCATTTCTTTGATATTTCCTGTCCTTGAGCTCTCGCTATTCCGTAGTTCCATACCGATCTCTGTCATCGCGCGGCCTTTACTCTCCTACGGGACCGCTCTCCACATCGACCACCGAGACCATAATGGGAAGGGCAATCAAGTCAAGCCCCCCGGGCAAAAAGAATACTACACGAGATGCTACGTACAATGAATCGCTCTACGCCGACGACCTAACCCCAGCATTGCGCCCTATCATCCGACACAAGTCCAAACTCGACCTTGGCAGATTATGGTGACATCTACGATGCGAGTAGATCCAGCGCGGCCCGTGTGTCTATTCCGGCATCTGTCGCTTCAATGTTTCATGACACAGGCCCAACCGGGGCCGCGGGTATCGGCGGAGCGTACAATGCAACGGTGCAAGCTAACGGTCTGCCTTCCATCGAGGACATGCGAGCACAGGTCCTGCGGGAGCTCGTTGCTGCTCATATTGCTAACTGCCTGGGTGAATATGACATCAATTCCGATGACGAATGTTGAAAAGGCAGGTCCTTGGGCTCAGTCCAAGACTCTTCGACCCGGCCCGGCTGAATATGAGCAATCTGTTTTGTTTTCTGTGTTGCTTGCCATCGATTCTATTTCATTTAATCACAACATTTATGGCATTGACGTCCCTTAACGATTGAATGGTGACCTGGAGGACAAAAGTATACTCCTTAGGAAAGAACATACATAGTCTTTGTTTATCAGCGACATGTACTTCCCGCAAAAGGTCTTGGTAGATCACAGCTAATTATTACGCTCGTCAATCTAGCTTGAGATTGCCATTTACTGTCTTTGAGCTGACGTTCCTCCTTTTTCACGAAGAATATTCTCTACTCGGGGAAATTGCTGATGTTCCAATTCTTTGCCAATGTCTTGCGAGTGTTGTTCTCGTCGACCGTCTCACGTGGGAAGAGCTTGGACAGCTGTATGCCCCCCTTGTCGGCGTCCATTTTCTTGAAGATGCGCATGATGCCTTGTTTTGTGTAGAAGTGTCTCATGTCCCGATCCTCCAAGTTGTTGTATGTCCGAAGGAGAAGAAGAGCCAAAGATGCGATGCCTGCCGCCAGAGCGGTGGCCACGGAAGAGCCCGACACGGTGGGCGTGACGGTGCCAATGTATGCGGGACCCACGGCCTCGATGTTCTCGCCAGGTATCCGGATGTCAACCTCTTTGGCCCTCATGTTCTTCGACGTGGAGTGGCCCCACCTATCCGTCGCACTGACGCTCACCACGTTCTTACCGTAGTCGGCCGGGTAGATGGGGTCGGAGAAGATGCCCTCGTCGGCGGTCGAACAGAACATCAAAGTAGCCCGCCCGCTTGAATCATCTGCTGCGTCCTTTATCGCCTTCTCCAACGCGCTGTCGTTCTTTAGCGTGGTCCAGCTCATGGATATTATGTCGACCTTTTGTTCGATGGCCCACTTCACAGCCTGCCGATCCGAACAGGAAACGTCAGTGATACCGCGGTGAGCGTGTCAACACGAATTGCCTGCACGCGCTACGAGGAAGAGGAAAGAATGACTCTGGGAGATCCGCCCTTACCTTTGCCGCGCTTTTGGGGTCTATATCGTTCCTCCCTTTACCAACACGAGCAATGTAGAGACGGCAGTATGGATTAGTCTGCCCTATCAGCGATGCCATCTGAGTTCCGTGGGCGTCCGACACCATCCACCAGGGCAGGATCCGATCCGAGCCGAACAGGTCGGCAGTGACGTACGAGACGCCCTTGGCAATCATTTCTCCGATGCTCGACCTAATCCTATCGGCCCCATTGTCGATGATAGCCACTTTGATCCTGCTGTCTGGGGGGGGAAGATCGATGCCTCTGACCGGTGGAATAGCGTACTTTCGCAGCCTCCGTACGTGCTGCATGTCCTCGTCATTCTGTGGGTCTTGCATCGCCTCGCCGCTAGTGCCCGGGAATTCGTCCTGCCCGTCGCAGTCTGAGACGTCGTACCTGTCGTCGACAAGCCGCTTCGCCTTCTGTTCATCCAGGAACTTATGGCAGGGTCCCAGTTGGCCGGTGAACTGATGCCTGGACGGTTGTGACTGTTAGTGCAAGCTATCAGGCCTAGAGTGCCCGGCAGCCATGAATACTTACATTGGAACATGCGCAGTAGCATCTTCGGGTTCGTGAGGAGGAGGAGGATAGTACCACTTCGCGTTAACTTTGATGTCCGGTTTATAGTTGAAATTGGTATCCGGGTCATTCTCGTATAACTTCTTATTCTCGGCATGTCGGCCCTCTAAATAAGCTTTATACTCTTCGGCGAGCTCCAGATGACGGCTGTGGATATCCTTCTCGTGCACTCCCTGGCATCGGATGGTACAGTTTAGTCAGAAGGCCATCGACGATTGGGATAGCATAAGAGAGCTGGACTGCTTACATCGGCAGGATCTAGATGAATAATATCGATTCGGACGTTGAGAAGCTGCATTTCGCACATAGACACGTCAGTGAACTGGTTTTTGTTGCGAAGGGCGGCGTTGATACAGACATTGGGGAGCCTTGCTAGGCCGTCCTTGCTTATCCAATGATACAACACGCTCCAATTGCCGCTGGAATACAACGTGAGTTCCTTCAGCGAATTCCGCGTTCCGGACGCCTTGGGCGGCTTCCCCCTGTCGACGCCTCCGGTCAGGATATCCAGGCTCATGTCCAACTTGCGCCAATCCAGGGCCTCAATCTCAAAGTTATTCAGGATGTTCAGCCCGAAGAAAGCAGGGTTCATTGGGTTGATCGTGTTGTCCGGTATGTTGAGCTTCTTGATGATTTTGACATTTTTCTTGTTCTTGAGCCACAGGAACAAAGTCCGCAAGGTCTTGTGGGGACAAGGCTGCTTGACGTAGTTGAGGTCCGGCAAGTGAACGAAGAAGAGGGTGTCTTCAAACTGCAGGGTGCCGTCATCCTCGTCAACATCCACGCCTTCGTCCATGTCAGTATCGAGGCTGGTTAGTTTCTCGACAAACTTCTCAAAATTGTGAGATGACTGGTTGAAGTCCGACATGTCCAGACAAAGCTCCTTCACTGCGTGGCCGGTCAGCCGAGTCATACGTGGGGGGCGTCCTGTACTATGGGTCTCGGAAAATACAGCGAACTTACGGTTGCCGGAGCTTCCATACAAAGCCATGCTGACATTTGGGATCCCTTTGACCTTCTGAAAGATGAGCGACTTGAAACTCTTCTTGAATTCCGACTCCTCTTGCGTCACTTCTGGGTCTTCTCGGTCCCTGTTCTCCCACTTATCCAATTCCTCCTGATATGGCGACCTTCCCTCTTTGTTTGTAGCAGTCAGAATGACTGGGAGAACTTTGTCGGCGTCTTCTCTTCGTTTGATCTCTTCCAGGATATGCGGAGGGTTGAAGTGGTTATCCCAAAAGGGCACTCTCGATTCGGCGTTAATGGTTTGGCTATTCTTGGCGGCTCTTTTTCTCTCGGGGCCGATCCTTGGCCGCGGCGGGATTGAGATCACTCCGCCCATGGCCTTGTTCATGGCACGGTGCAACGGCGTGTATTCATCTCCGTCTTTATCGGTTAGCGCCGTTGCAGAGCAAACTGCTACCATGAAAGACGTGAACGGGAGGAGCTTCTTCATGGCGAGGTGCACGCAGTTCTCCTTGGAGGCACTGTCCTCGGTACATTCGAGGACTCGGTCAAGCTGTTGAAGAAATCTCGGGTTCCGATCTTGGCCGAACTTGAAGTCGTAACAGATCCCAAGGAAGGTGGCCAGGAAGCTGAAGTTCTGGTTCTCAATGGCGTAGTGGATGGGCAGCTTCCCGGAGAACTCGTCCTCCCCCTTCCGGTCTGTGGCTGGTTTCTCGACAAAAACTTTCTTCAGTTCAGCATCTCTCAGCATCCAGCAGAGAAGAGATCGTCCAGTGTCTTTGGCCCAGATACTTTCGGTCCAGTTCTCAGACTTGAGTCTTGTGTGAAATATTAGTTGTAGAAGAGTTTTGTCGCCTCTCCTCCCAAAAGCCGCCGCCTCCACGATGTCTGTTTTCAGAGAGCGGGTGGCCGCGGCATCATTCCAGTCCGTTATCTCTCCAGCCGTCTTCAAAATCCGGTCTACCACATCCTTTGGATCCTTCTGGATCCGTGTTGCCACGGAGGCTTTCGAGTCCTTGCGATCTTTTTTATACTTGTCGTATGACATGATGTTTTGCTGTTCCCTCTACTGGATCGATTGCGATTTTTTTTTACACGCAAATGAAGCTGAAGACACTTCGACTCGACCAAGCTATCGCAGGCGGCACTCACTGGCCAATATTGGCAAGGTAATGGGGTGCTTAGTGGAAGAACCAGGAACGGGGAGGATTTGCAAACTATCTGAGAAACCTATGGGCAGTATGACCAGGTTTCTGCGCCACGTTGCGACATACACATAATCAGTTGACGAACTAGGAAAATCCTCTTCCCTTTTCGTCCCTGCGCTTCTTCCCGCATTACTCTATCCGGCCACCAACAGCCACCCCGTTCTAGCCCCACTCTTCACACTCACATTCCCTCACCAGGCCTGCCTCTCCACCTCATCGGCATATCCCCTCTCCTCTCCCGACAAGCATTCCCTAGCTTCTTCGCGCAGCAAGTCCGCAAGACGATCATACAAGGCGGCCATCTTGCGAAGCCGCTCTGTCCGAGCTATAGAATAAATTGGCTGTGCAGGAATCACCTGGGCCGGCCGTCGAGGATAAGGCTCTCGGGAAACCGGGCCGGGCGGTATCATCTCACTCTCCGCTCCGCTCTTGGGTTTTGATGTTGGGGGGTCAGCGACCTGGACAGCTGAGGGCTGCGGAGCAGGGGTAGGGGCAGGGGCAGGAGCAGGGGATGTGGCAGTGGTGGGAGGCAAGGTCTGCTCAGCTTGCTGCACGACTGAAGCTTGTGCTACCGCATCTTGCTTGCTAACTTCTGCATCTGCGCCGGAGGATTGATCTTCTGGTTTGTTTTGGCCGTCTAGTTCCATCCTCGAACCGGCGATTCCTAGTCAGTAGTCAGAGCCTGATCGCAGAATATTGAGAGGACTAGATCTTAGCTGGCGATTCATCGTACCTTGTTCGAATCTCACCAGTCGGCCTTGCTCCTGAAGATGTAGACCGACCTCGTCAATTCTCTTCATTACGTTATCTCTCGAAGCCGCGTGTAGGTTTTTCTCATCGACGCCTTTGGGAAGTCTCTGGACGGAGCCGGCTCGGGCCGGTCCGAAGACATCGAGAAGCGATGGGTCCTTCTTGCTGCGGAGGCCAGAAGGGACGAACTTTTTGAGCTTCTCAAACAGGACACCTATCTCGCCATCCGTGTTCGCCTCGACGCGGAACTTGGATCCCTTGGGGCGCTTGACTAGCAGAGCGACCGTGAAGCTGTCGCCGATCCCGTCCCCCTCATTTGCTGCGCGAACTTCCCACCACACGCGGTTGGCCCTCTTCCTCGATAGTGCCATGTTGGTGCGGTCCGTACCCGACTTTACCCTGAGCAAGTGGTGGGCCTTGAACTCGGACTTGGACGACCTCGAACCCTCTATGCCGGGTATGACTCCGTATATCTGCGCCTGCAGAGTTCCCTTCAGCGCGGTTTCGCGAGTCTCGTTTGTCGTGAATACGTCGGCAAACTGGTCGCCGCTGGAGGCAGGCTCAATAGAAGCAAGAAGCGGCACACTATCTTCGTGTTCATCTCTTCGCTGGCCCTTCGTCTCGTCCGGAAGAACAGTAAGAGTCACGTTGAACCATAGAAACTGCCGCTTGAGGTCGTCCGGCCTGGGAACAACTCTTACGACTAGCAAGCTCGCGTTGTCTTCGTCGCCCGTGTCGTAATCGCCATGGACCTCGTACACGAGTTCAAAGTCGACCGAGAACTCAGACCTCACGATGGTGCCAAGCTTTGGCATCAAATCAGACCTCACATGGGCCGCATCCGGAACATAGTTCTCGAGGGGGAACGATTTGAGTGTCCTGAGGGTCTGCTCAGACTGAGTCATATTGGAAACCCTGATTTTGAACATGAAAATCAAGTGCGTAAGTTAATTTGCTATTCAAAACATAAAACAATGTGTGTACATGTAAGAGAATTAATCTCAAGTTGGAATGCTAAGAATTCGCTATCATTCAGGGCGTGCGGGAGCTTCGGCTTGCTCGACTCGGTTCAAACCAGTGGTGCCCAATATATGCAGGGAAGGAGATGCATTGAACTCTTGCCGTCCTTGCCGTTCGAAGGAAGCGTGCGGCTTGGCACACCTACATCAGCACCAGTTCCCCCCCCCTCCCCCCCCTTAAAACCCCCAGCTGAAAAAATCCATGCATTAGAGCCAGCATTTACTCCAAATGTGTCGGGCGCCGGATGTGGGTTCATATTCGAGCAAGGCTCAGAGCACTTCTCTAAACCAAAATACTTCTCTGTTCAATATTTCATAGTATTGTGGTAGAGACGAAGATCTGGAGACGAGCAAACGGCTGTTTCGTGATCTTATTTACTTTTACATTTATTTTTATTGTTTTTGAAGACGCATAGTAAGACATGTCGAGCTTCGACGGCAAAGTCTCTGTGATCGGGGGGGCAGAACTATATCAGGGGGCGGAAGAATTGACGGCCCCAAAGTACAAGTGAGTGCGACAGTTGCCGTGAGCTTCTCCCGCTTATTTTGTTTGTTTACGAACAGTGTATTGGCGATTCACGGTCTGGGAAGCATGGGAGTCCAAAATGCGGCTTGGACTTGCAAGCAGGAGAAGGAGGCCACATCTTGGCTCAAAAATCTCCTTCCCATCCACGCCCATTGCTCCCGTATCATGACCTTTGATTATTGCTGCAAGGCAATTCATGAAGGAGTCTCGATGGATAACATAAGGGGTTTGGCCACCAAGCTGCTTGATCAGCTGCTGGATATGTTGGAGCCGGTAAGTGCTACTGAAGTTCAATCTACTGGATTTAATCGCTGACGAGGTCTTATGTTCAAGAGCGTTTACGTTGTATTTATTGCGCATGACCTCGGCGGACTGATAGTCAAAGAGGTAAATCATTGCCTGCGTTGCATGATGCGTGCGTCGTTGAAGCCTGGGAATGCTTGGAAAAGAGGTGCCATGAGGCGCTGACGTTTCTCCCCTCCCGGGAAAATAGGCGCTTTCAATAGCGATCCATTCTAGCAGGTACCATATCATTTCCGGCATGACCTCACTGCTCGTTTTCTTCGGTACGCCGCACCGCGTCTCAGGCTCGAAATCTTGGGAGAGCATAGCCAGTTGGCTCCTGCACGTGTCTGGCGAAGACACTCCCTACAGCGTTCAGCGGATCATCAAGACGGCACAGATGTTGAGGGCAGCAAACGAAGGGTTTGACTCCATGAAAAGTATGTATAGGGTCATCAACATACTCTATCAGCAGATCAGCCCGTCTGAGACAGCCGGCGCATTGATGTGGCAGGTGAGTGCTCCGCTGTTCCCAAGTATGATTTTCGAGAGACCTTTACCTTTTTACTTGCCGTCCTGACATGAAGTAGGCATTAGACTCAGATTCAGCCAAGATGGAGACGCATAGAGAGATAAATATTGGCCGTGATGAATCACATGCCGATATCACCAAATTTTCCGGCGAGAGGGACGAGGCGTTTGTGAGAATCTACCGTGAGTTGCGTATCTCAAAAGGTTCGTTCTTTGCATGCCATTAGCCAAGCTGTCAGGGTCAATGAGCTCCAGCCTTCAGTACAAAAGGTGCAAACGCTAACCAATATGTGCATAGGACCCGGGATCCAATATATGCAGTGTCTCGAATTCCTATCCGGCCTTGTCAGTCAAGATGGATTTGCCAAGCAGGCATTGACCAGCCGGGAATTCGGGGACATGGAGTCTGGCGCTTTGCGACAGCTCGAAGGCAACGAATTGTACAAGTCCTGGCGACAGAGCACCACCAGCACTCTGTACATCCAAGGACGTCTTGGTCTTGACGCTCCTCGTCTCTTAAGCCAGGTAACAAGCTCCGACGACACCATTGCCATAAGTTTCAGGTGCGATGCGAGAGATAGCTGTCACTATGGTTCAACTCAATTGTTCGCGTCACTCTGCCATCAGATACTATGTCTCAGACCTCAACTCTTCGACCACGTTTCCAAACTCTACAAGCTCTACTCTGAGGGGACTAGATGGCGGCCGAGGCTCCGAGTACTTTTCTCCTCACTGCTTGGCTGCCCTTTTGAAGGACATACAGTGTGTTTGATCCAGCATATGGATGAAATGCGGAATGCGAAACAGCTTCTGAAGGATATCGGCACCATGACCAGCGGTGCTGTTAAAAACTTCAAGCTCATCGTCACAGCCGGCTCCAGCACTAAGAGGTCGGAACTTTTCGAGCCTGCAACTGTTGTGTACATAAATCCAGCGCGGCACAACCTCGGGACCATAGTGGACTCTGAAGTAAACTCTCTGCTCTCCAAGCGACCGAGTTTGTCTGCCGCCGGCGACAAGTTCAGAGAGATGCTACGAGGCAAACTTACGGATAACCTGGAGCGTCTTGGCCTTCCGGAGCCTTCCACCGCCTCCATAATTAGGGTCTGGCTGATGCTCCTGCTCGATGTCGCAGATCCGGTCACAAACTCTTCTATCAGGCAGTCGGAACTTCTTATGGCCACCAAGACGGACGACATATATCGTGAACTTCTTTGCAGAATTCTACCTCGGCGCCGGCAGAAGGCACGGAATGCATTATCATGGATGGCTCGCGCGTTCCGTCCCTTGAGGCTTGACGAACTAGCTATCGCCACCGTATTTGAACTCGACAGAAAATCTATCACAGGCATCGAGGACGAAACTCCAGTCGACCTTGCGTGGGACATCAACGTCAACTTTGGAAATCTCGTTCAAGTGGATAGCGGCCAAATTGTCCACGTGCGCGACAGCTTCCGGGATTATATGTTGTGCCAACAGCCGAAGACGGATGACGAATGGCCGTTCCCTTTAGATAGCCATCGAACCATTGCACGGAAATGCCTCTCATATATCTCACTACTGGTACAGCAAGGGCCTGTTGAACTACCCAAGTCAGCAGACCGCCGCTCCGATCTTTTGTCGTACTCGGTTCGCCATTGGCCAAGTCACTACAAGGAGGATATCGCCGGGCGGGCTCCTGACTCGAACACTGAGCAAGGCGAATCGCAGGAGTTTGATGTCTTCAACGACCATGACCTCATTCAAAAATGGGCCCAGCTGTATTTTGATTCCGATCCTCCCGGTATGGCGTGTGAGTCAACTCATCCGTTGGTCGTATCGGTGGAGGTTGGGTGCTCAGACTTGGTCAGAGCCTTGCTTAAAGGTCAGACGCACAGTTCGGATATCCTGAAAACGGCTCTCGAGACGGCCATCAAAACAGGCGATGAGAGTCTCATCCGCATGCTCCTGGCTTCTGGAGCTACCAGCGACATTGCATTACATGTCGTGGCAATGTCGGGGAAACCGAGCCTCCTCGAGCTGTTTCACAAGACGGAGGATGATCTGAAATCTGAGAACTCCCAGGGCTTCACACCACTGCACTGTGCCTGCCAGAGCGGCTATCTTTCAACGGTCGAAGAACTGCTCCGCATTAGATCGGACGCGAAGGCAAAAAGCAACATAACCGGTCAAACTCCTCTCCATACTGCCTGCCAATTCGGCCACTTAGAAATAATTGCACGCCTTCTGGCAAGTGATGCTAATGCCAATGAGGAGGATAAGTCTGGATTCACGCCTCTGCATGTGGCGTGCAAGTGGCAGCAAGCAGGTTCTGTCAGCTGGCTTTTCAACAAAGTCAAGGCGGGGCAATCAATAGACGTAGATGCCCAGAGCCAGAGTTCGGTCACGGCATTACACCTCGCTGCGGAGTCTGGCCGGGTTGACATCGTGAGACTCCTCTTCGAGAATCATAGAGATCTGAGAGCCGGAACCGACACCCAGGACAAGATACGTGGGCTGTTGAGAACGAAAAACGCGGACGGCTCGACGCCACTGCACTTAGCCGCTGCAAATGGGCATTCTGAGGTCGTAAGGGAACTGCTGCGCTTCGAAACGGAGGAAGATCCCGTCGCTGTCCTAGAGATGGATAAGCAAAACTGTATCCCTCTCCATCTTGCCGTCAAAAGTGGCTGCTCAGACGTGGTGAAGCAACTTCTGGGACGTGAAAACGTCGTGAAGGACCAGATCATGAGCCAAGCCTGGCGCAGCTCTAGAGCCTTTCCGACCCATCTAGCCGTTATCAGTGGACATTTTACCATTCTGGAGCTCCTCTGTAAGGCGCATCAGAAGTCGGAAATTTCGCTCGACCTCTTTAACAGCTCGTCGTTGAGTCCTCTACATGTGGCGGCAACAAGCGGCCAGGTGGACATTGTCGACCTTCTCTTGGACAACAACGCAACGGCCAACATATTCGACTGGGAGAACGCCACGCCTCTGTTTCTTGCCAGTCGCGCGGGAAATGTCCGAATAGTTAATCTCCTCCTCGAAAAAGGCGCCGATCCAAACACGAAGACCGATTACGGAGTCACCCCAGTACTTGCGGCCGCTACTGCAGGATATTTTGAGATTGTCCAACTGCTTCTTAAAAAGGGAGCCGATCCTAATGCCGAGGACAACAACGGGCTAAACTCAGTGCTGGCAGCTGCCGAAGGAGGGTTTGCCAACGTGGTCGATCTGCTGCTCAAAAACGGTGCCAATGCAGACACTAAGAGCAGGAGTGGTTCGTCGCTATTGATGACTGCGGCGGAACGCGGGCGTACCGGCGTCGTCTCGATACTTCCTCGGAAAAGGCCAGATCTAAACGCCACAGACAATTCCGGCCTCCGTCCTCTGATATTGGCCGCCAAGGGAGGCCATGCGGAAGTCACCGAGCTCCTTCTGAAGAGTGGTGCTGATCCGAATACCGGGGATCCCGAGGGCCGTAAAGCGATCCATTTTGCGGCCGAACGTGGCGACCTCAAAACGATCCAGCTCTTACTGGCCAATCCCAAGGTTGAAGCCAATGAGGCCGATTCGAAAAGGCGCACGCCGCTTTATTTTGCGGTGGGGACCAAGTCTCTCAATGTCGTCAACGAGTTCCTCCAGAGAGGCGCTAGTGCCACTGCCGAAAACGAGGACGGCATCTCTCCGCTTGACTTGGAGGCCTCAGAAGAGTTGATGGAGATCTTGCTCGCTTCGACAAATTTTGATGAGATGGACGACCCGAGCCACGTGTTCGACAAGGCCCTGCGCCAAGCAGCCATCAGGGGCTACCTCAGGGTTATCAGGGAGCTCAATAACCATAATGCCAACCTGAAGACCTTGGACGAGAGCGGGCGTTCCTTGTACCACCTGGCGGCAGAGAGCGGGTGCGCAGAGGTTATTAAGCTGTTGTATGAACTTAATGTACCCGGCTTCGATGGGGTGGACGACGCAAAACGCACGCCGGCGTCTTATGCCTCGGAAAATGGTCACCTCGCAGCCGTGAAGCTCCTGGCTGAAGTGGCTCCGGAAAGCGTGAGGCGCCCTGACCAGAAAGATAGAACCCCTCTATCCTATGCGGCAGGTTGCCAGCAGGTCGGCGTCGCCGAGTATCTCCTCGAAAGCACAGTTGCAGTTGAGGACGTGAACAGGGCGGACTCGAGTAACCGAACACCCCTTTGGTTTGCTGCAGAACAAGAACTCACGCCCATCGTACAAACCCTTCTGCGTCACAAAGCAGATCCAAATATTGCAGACACAGACAATGCTTCGACACCGCTGCATCACGCTGCTAGTGCAGGTATCCCGGAGATGGTTAATCTCCTGCTAGACCTCAATTCCTCGATGGACGTCCGAGACAGCGAAGGACGAACCCCGCTATTCTGCGCGGCGTGGTCGGGGCGCACGGAAGTCGTTTCGATACTCATCGACAGGTGTGCACCCGATACTCCAGATGTCTCAGGCTGGCAGGCATTGCATGCCGCATACGACAGCCCAGAAATCCTCAAACTGCTCCTCACCAAGTCGCACGTTGATGTAAATTCTACGATGGGGGATGGGGCGACTGTACTGCATCTGGCCATCCGCAACTACAGAGAATCGGCAAATGTGTTGCTGGACTCCGGCGCGGATCCCTTAAAGCAGGACTTGGACGGGATCACCCCCTTACACCTTGCCGCCACCTACAACGTCGACGATGAGATGTTCGGTCTGCTGTTGCAAAAGGCCAACGGCCCACTTGACGTAAAAGACAGCGGTGACCATACTGCTCTCGTGGCGGCCATTGAGAATTCTAACCGATCTGCGGTAAAATTGCTGCTGAAGACTGGGCAATTCGTTCTCGGCGATGTGGGCAAGGAAGGAAAATCAGTACTCGACGTTGCCATAGAGACTGACTCTAACGGCGTGATGGAATCGATCCTAAGGCACGGCGGCGCAAGCATCTCCACAGAAAGCATTGAGAAAATCCTCGTTTGGGCGCTGAAGAATGACCAACAAGACATCGAGGAGCAGACAATGCAAATCCTCCGCGACAGAAACCCGAAAGCGCTGGACGAAAGCCATGCACTCTTTAGCTTCGCCACCAAGGCAGATGACATCTCTCTTGCCAAATTCCTGCTGGGGTTCGGATCGGACCCGGAGATAAGAGACGAGCACGGCTGGACTCTTTCGCAGGTCGTCGAAGCCTTTGAGTCGCCGGCTGGCATCCCATTGAGCTTGGATGATAAGCACAATCCACCCACTCGATGGAGTGCGCTCCATTCTTCGGACAACGCAGAAATGTCTAAAGAGAACGGACTCTGGCTGCAATATAGTGGCGAATCTGCTTCTAGTGATGCACCGAGAGTCATAGCTCGGTCGGATCATCCCATACCTCTGTCGCGGCGGTTCTATTTCGAGATCAATGTGATCAAAGGAAGTCAAAAAATGTGAGTTGTATCCCTTATTCGCCCCTTGGCAATTTTAAACTTCTGGTAAACATCTAATAAAATGCCATGCGAATATAGTCTGGGAATCGGGTTTGGTCACAGCAACTCCTCCAAGGAGCGCATACCCGGATGGGATGACAACAGCTGGGGATTGCACGGGGATGACGGCGCCATGTACCACGCGAATGGACTCTGGAGAGCGATTAACAATGACTGGAAATACGGTACCGACGACTGCGTCGGCTGCTGCATCGATCCCGTCCAGCGCAAGGCTTTCTTCACGAGGAACGAGACTGTGATCGGTAAGTTCATAATACCACCCCCAATATATCCTCCTCAACCTGATTAATGTCATAGGCGCATGCTTTATAAATCTCCACGGTCGTTTGTTTCCGATGGTGGGCTTCGGTGAGGGCACGGAAATCATCGCCAATTTTGGCGGCGATCTTGTATCCAAACCTTTCAAATTCCCCGAGGGCTTGACCAGGAACTATCGGGTGAGCGAGGAGATTGATTAAATCCCCTTGACCTTTGCTCCCTCTATGTCATGCCCATCGGCTGCATGGTCAATGTGTAAGTCGAGTGTATTGAGCTTTCGGGAAAGCGTATCTCCCACGAACCCCAAGTTGGACACGTCAATTCAGTAAGCAAATGGCTGTAGTCGAGTTTCTCGCCGGAGCAGACGTGCTCGAAATATTTCATAAATTCACTAGGAATACCATCGAATAGACCGCACTCTTTCATATACTACTTTCTCTCGAGGATCACCGTCTCTTTCTTCCGTAATTTGGCTTTAGGCTCTACTATAGGAGAGAACCTCGAAGAAAAGTAAAGGAGGATATATCTAAGTAATTCTACATTATTATAGGGAGACTACTCCAGACTACTATATTGAGGTGTCTTTTATTTCGAATACGCTGTGAGAGTTTGAATCAAGAGGATTCAGTGACCAGGTTAACGTTATCGAATTGCTAAAGAGAAAAGAGGGAAGAGGAGGAAGTCCTCTCTGTAAGGCGCATCAAGCATGGGCCAAGTATCATACCCAGAAGGGGAAGTTCCTTAGTATCCTAGCCCTTGGCGAGACGCCGGGGTATGGCATAGGATAAGAACAAGAACAAGTCTCTTCATAGATCTCTTCTTACCTTCTTCAAGAATTAGTTCAGCAATCGAAGTGCTCATCCTTGTGAAATCCTTACACTCTCCGTCCGACAGATATCTACACTGAATTACCACCATGGTGGGGTCACATGCCTTGCATGCCTAAGACCCAGTAGGGTTTCACCCTGGGTATATATAAGATCTTATAGACTAGCAAGATCTTACAGACTAATACGATCTTATAGACTAGTAAGATCTGTCAAATGGGAGCCTTATGGCCTTATTATTGTTCTTGCTTACGTAATAATCGACTACTCAGATAGTTCTCCTTTTCCATCAACTCCGTAGAAATCAAGCATCTATTACCTGCGATTGTCGAGGATCCTGCTTCCGTGCCGTTCCACACGTGACCCAGGTTCATCAAGTGACTGGTCAACAAGAGCGAGTGGGCTATAGCGCCCACACACGTCGCGTCTATCTCCCCCTCTCGATCATCACCACGAATATGTCTCACGAATATGTCTCAAGAAGCGAATCTTGAGGGCAGAATCCTATTAGCCCTTCAGGGTCTTAAATCTGATCGGTTTCGAAGTCCCGAGCCGCTGTGAAGGCATATAAGCTCCCTCGTAATCCCCTTGACCGTCGCTACGATGGCACCCCCTATCAACGCGATGCTCAGCCTAATTCGATGAAGCTAACTCTGGTCGATGAATCAGTGCTTGTCGAGCGCGTTCTAGACCTCGATTCCCAGGGTCTCCCTCCATGTCTATTGCACGAGAAATAGCGGATATCCTTCTCCAGGCCCGTGAAACGCGTTCTCAACCTATCTCAGTCGGAATTAACTGGGCATCTATGTCCATCGTCACACCAAATTCAATCGAAAATACGACTGCCAGAGAGCCCAATGCGAGGACCCTTATTGGAAACCAGTTCAAGCTCGTACGGTATACGATCCAGAAGTACGGTGTCGTACCAGAGGACCAGTACAACTTTGATGAGACTGGCTTTATGACGGGGATCGTGCTGGCATACCTAGCGCGCGTGTTTGGCCTACTGGCGGCGTGGTCGACGCTGCGTTTGAGTTTGAGCGGGAACGACCGATCATGATCGGGCTTGTGCTGTTCATTATCTGGTATACAACTTTCCAAGCCTGCTCGTAGTTATCTAGACTTCTTGTAAGGGACCAATAAGCAATGTCACGGCAGCCATCGATACTAGCTTCAAGTAGCCGTATCTCACTGCCACTCGCCAAGGCTCCCTTGTCAGAGCTCAAACCGAATATTGTCTCCAGCGCTGACAAGCATACCCACCAAACCACGTTGCGTATATTTCATGGACAACATCATAGGCAGCCGATACATCCCAAATTTCTTCACCAATGATAATGCGGTTGCTACCTTGTATGCAGCTCACTGGCTGCATGCACGCCGAGCAGAAGCCAATCCTGCAGGTGGCTTTCTTCAATTTCGCAGCTCGCGATCATCTCTACAGTATCTCCTGTCGAACATTACGATTTAATGCATCGCCGTGGCGCTACAGCTCCGTTGCGTCGTTCGCTGCTTCCTGTGACCGATGCAACATGTGCCAGCGGACGCGCACAGCGCCCGGCGTCCGGTCCGGGAACTTTCGAAAGATCCATGGCCATGGCTTCCCCTCGGCCTTGTAAGCCAACAAACGCTGCTCCTCTAAAGGTTCCCACCGACGGCGTGTTCCGCCGTCTATACCTTGGTCAATGTACTTCTCATCGCCAGCTTCATCGTCGCTGACGGTGCTATCGCTCCTACCAACGCTGCAGTCATCCTCTGAGTCCGAAGTGTTTGCCATGGGGACGGTGGCCTCAGTAGTATCTCTTCGCGGATTCGATGTGACCTCGTGCTGTGTGGTGACGCCGGCATTGAGATAATGATTGCGAATAAAACCGGTGAGCAGCCATTGTCCTGCTGCGAGCGGTTTGAGCGTTATGTCTTGTATCTTCGGTACGCCCAAAATATTCTCTATAAGCGTGAGCAGCTTGCTATAAGAGATCACCCCGATATCGCCATCGGCCTTAACCGTAGCTGCCAAGAAAGTGTCACCGGGAGTTGGACGAAGAGAAATGTCGGTCACATTAAACCGGGCCACGGTAACGGGCCCGCTGTCGTCGCCGTCGCGGTTGTCTCCATCGTTTCTTCTGGCTGCGGGGTGGTCGGGATTCGGACTGCTCGGGGGGCGTGTGGCCCGTTGATCCCGTGGGAACGTGGGAGTATTCCTCCCGGCATTTGATTGGAATGGCTGACGCCTACGCTGGATCTTGCCTCGATGCCGTCGCCCCAGTGGCGGTCTCAGCGACCTTATTCCGTGGTCATCATCCACGGCGTGCACTTCGTCTGTGTCATAGCCATAGCAACGACCATAGTCAGCAGTGTCTCTTAGCTGGCTATGCTCCTGAATGGGATCGTCGGTCTCGCGTCGCTGGTACGCTCGTATTGTATGGGGAGACGGGGCCGGTGGTGGACTAGTGCTGGTCAGCACACGGTTGCCGGAACGGTCGCGGTTTATGTGCTCGCTGCGCCCCCTTCCTCTATTATTCGCTGCATCGCCCTCGTCATCGTTTTGGGGAGATATCTCGGCATCGCCAGAGCCCGACAGTTGCCTTTCTACACGATGACATATGCGTGGAGTCTCGCACCGCCCTGAAGAGTCAAAGCCAATATTCGGGGCCACGGTGTCGGGCGGTGGCGGCTCGCCGGAGCGAGATCGTCTGGACCGCTTCGCCGGACGCGGCTCCTCCAACGGTTGGCTATCAATCTGGTGTTGAGATCTCGCGCCGCGCGCAGCATTGAGGTCGGCGGGCGGGGTCGTGCGGGAGGAGGAACGGGTCCACTTCCTCTGTTTAATGGACGATGGATTAATTATAGGGTCATTGTTTTCGTTGGTATTGCCATCCGTTTCCTCTATACAAAACTGTCAGTAATGGTCATGCTTATTCTAGAGAGCGGCAAGGCCATACCTAAAGGTTGCAGGTTAGTAGATTCAGCCGTTTCGGTAGATTGCACAAGGCTCTCAATTGGTAGTCGCGTATGATCTGCTACTGAGACGCTGTCATCCATAGCACGATCGTGGGCTGCCATCTGGGTTAGCGTAAAGGAGTGAAGCACCGGAAGGGATCTGCTGATTACACATGTCGGTACCACTCCGGGGCACGTCGACACCATTGGAGGGTTCGTCATTTTGTCCAGGTGGCAGGATATCACCGCTCTCTATCGCTTGTGACGAGCTCGAATCACGGGCTCTATCCGCGGCCGACGAGCCACTGAGTTCCGGTCTTTGCGAGCCCGCACTGAGCAATACGTTCAGAGCAGGCAGCTCATCTTCAGAACCAGTGTAGGACTCGCTGTTTTCAACGAGGATGGCCGTGTCTAAAAGGAATTAGTAACTGTCTTTTTAGAATATGGGCGCACCGCTTCCCTAGCAACTTACCTGGACAGTTCCCTGTGGATGCCCCGCCCGCTGATTGCTGTGCCGGATTTGACCTCGTTAAGCCTTCGGACTCTAGGATATCATCAATATCAGTCCATAAGGTGTTCGTAGAGTCACCGGCCCCGTGTCCGGAATTTGGCGTCCGAGTTTTCGGTCGCTGGCTCTTTGGGAGTCCCGAATAATAGCGAAAGTTATCAGACCGGCGAAAGTGTGATTGAGTATCGGAGGAGCAAGGAGCTGTAGTGGCCGTCATGTTCGCCTTTTGGGACTACCTCGCTGCTGGACGAAAGTGTATCACTGAAAAGTGTGAGGAGTCGGTGCTCTTTGAGAAGGAGGATAATGGAATAGCTGGCACCTTTATATATGGCAAAGCGTACTCCTTCTCTTGCTCGCCCGTGCGGGAAATTAGGTCAGTTCTCGCTCGCCGCTCCCATGAATTGCGGCTTGCGAGAAAGAGCGAGCGTGGAAGGGCTGAAAACATGGGTTCAATCAAAAGGGCAGGAGAAGCATGAAATCGCCTCCTCCGCCCTGGACAGCCAGACCGAACCTTCAGACGCCGCTGCCGCCGTCTTCTAGATGGGAGGATCGAGCGGCACTTTCGCAGGTGCAGCGTGGGAACGCCAATCAAGCATAATATCGCATCCACGCTCATCTGTCGGATGAAAGAAGCCTCGGATGACGTGTCTCGTTCTTGGTCTTGGATTGGGCCATTTCAGCCTTTGAACGAAGCATCCAGTATGCAATTTCTAAGGGCGGACTGGCAACTGGCGGCTCAGGTCCTGGACCAGAACGAAATCATCCTTCGCGCGAACCCACCGCTCTGGGGTATTCCATCTGGCGATCACCTGTTGAAGAAGGGCAAGAGCGTGCTCCGCGTCGCACCTAGGATGGAGCCATACAAGAGCCGGAGATACTAACGCATGAACGCGCATATATTCGCCCGTATTCACTCATACAGCACCTCGGGAAACTCAGTGCGAAATTTGCGGCGCCTCTCGGAGCGGGGAGACGTCGTGCATCCTGCGTCATGTGTGTCTGCTGACTGCGCCATCGCTCCATAACAGCCCTAGTTTGAGTTTGAACAAGTCTCTCCGCACTTTTCACTCCCCTGCATTCCGACCCTCCCCACCTCGTCGACTGCTCCGGCTGCCGCCTGAGTCTCGGAGTCGAGCAGGCTCAGGGGCTGAGCAGGTTTCTTGGAGATCCTTTGGGATCGCCGGGTGTCAGATAGATCCCCAACACCCCCAACCGTCTTCCAGACGGCCAAGAAGGCAAAAATATGGCGTGCGCCTCTCACCCTCTCGTCATCTCGACCGGCTTATCCCACGAATCCGGCAATGCCACGTAGCAGCAGCAAAGTGGGGTTGGGTCTTGTGACCGTCCTTCTAATGACTCAAAATTAAAGGATGACGGTGGATCGAGGCACTGGGATCGGCATGGCCGAACGGAATCAACGGGCCCCAATGCCGGAGGCGGCGAGGGCCACTCGACGACGACGAGCAGAGAATGAGCGAGATGGTCGCCCGCCGGCTGAACTTGAGCAGGACCGTGAATGACGAGAATATCGATTCGTAGTCGGGGAGACTCTCACTCTCTTGAGAGAGAGAAGGTGGTCTAGGAAACTAGCGGCGTGCCTAACCAATTCAAGTAGATGGGCTTCTCGAGAACTAAGAGACCGCAGCGCAGTGTGGACATAGCGTATTTGGAACTGCGACAAGGAGGGGTGGGCCCGCAGGGGAATGCAATCGAAAGCAGAGTAAGCGGGCGGCGAGAGCGAAGGAGGGCGGGCGAAAGGGTAAGTTGGGAGCGAAGGATGATGAAGAGCGGCCGATCTCTTGGACACCGCGGTAGTTGAAAGGGGTGGTAAAAGAAAGGGGGAGACGGAGGAGAATGAAATAAAACGGCAGAAGAAGGGATGGTGGGAAGCGGGTTTTATATACTGAAGGTCGAGGAGGCAGACTCGGCGGAAAAGGCGGGAAATCTTCGGGGGATTCGCATCGACCAATGAGCGGGGACAGCAGCAGGGCGCTAGGGTCGGAAGAGGCAACCCGCCCAATTTGGCAGCCGACCTGCCGTCGTCTCTTTTACTTAGTATTTAGGGATCATGTCCCAAGATTCAGTTGCCGGCCTTATAGATGGCGTGAAAATCGAAGTTCGATTTATAGTTGATACAGAAGTTGATTGGCAGTTATATTGCCCCCTTTAACTTCATAGATAATCCCATTACAACCCATTACCTTTTAACTTCACTAGATTCGTGCCAATGACTTATCGAGGGCGTTCCTCTCTCTCACGATGAGGACGCCGCTGTCGACGCTTCCCATTCGCACCGACAATCATCGAAAGCGCTACTACAACTAGGATGATAACTTTGATCGCCGTTCGACCCGCCATTGACTGGAGCTTGGTACCGTATTGTTCGGTAAGGGCAGTGCGTCAGGAGTTTTTCTATCCTTTGGTGCCTGCCTCTAGCAAACGACCCAAAGCGGCAGTATAATGACGATGGAAGCAGTGGACTCATCAGGTAGTCGTTTGAAAAGATGAAATTTCATATTCAACAGTGAGGATATTGGATGTCTACCTGAAGGAGTAGTTCACGGCTCTTTATAATTTTCCTGCCAAGCCCGTTCAAAATTTAATGCTCTCTCCGAAACTTCCCTTGCCCTCGACCAGATTTTCGCGTGGCCCGCAAAAAGGGATTGCATTGTTCCAGCTGCCGCAGCGTGCCCGACCCGAAGAAACTTCGGCATTGCCAATTTTTCATCGGATTGAACACGGATGGACGACATGGACGCAATTCACCAATGCTTGGACGAATTCCCGGGAAGATTCGAGAACTACTTGGGGGATTTGAGCGACTTTCTCGGCTTGAGACCACATTTATTGATTATAATAGCAATAGTTTGATTTCGCAGGTCCCACGGGAAATATTGAAGGATGTGCAGACTACTCTTATATTGTCTGATGCTTTACTTAAGCCAGAACATTCCCTACGACCTTGCAAGGATCAGGACGGCAAGGCGGATCACAAATGAATCCTCCGGTTACATAGCCCAACCAAATCTCCTTGGCAATTAGAACCGAGATACAATTGCTGGATCCGACGACAATGCCTAGCTCTCTGCTCATTGGTTTTCGTACCGCCTTCCAATGATGAACCTGAACGAATGGCTGGCTCAAGACCTGATGGTGAAGGCCCTGATGATTACTTCTCATCCTTAAGCTCATCGTTCGTATATTGAAGCGGCTCCGCAGCGCCCTGACACAAAGCGTCACGACAGGCGTCCTCTTCTGAGACAGCACTGGAGCGATACAAAATAATCCAAATTTCACTCTTATCGCTCGACACAGCCTTTGCTTCCTTCCACTCGCCATATCCAGACCTTTTCATAGTTCCAGGAAGGGCATTAAAAAACGATTGGATGATAGAGCGAGTGACTTGAAACTGCCACCCACTAGGCATGGGACATTTTATAATGTTGAGATTGTTGGTTTCAAGGGTATCCTTTTTTAAGCATTTTGGCAAGTGGACGGAAATGCTCCTTGATAGTTTGTCGAACACTAGTATCGTTGCCTGTGAGCCCCGGCATGTTTGACAGCGCGTTTGTTGATTTAGAGTCCATCGCAATCGACGTGGGAGATCGTATTGTTATATCGATGCAGAGATGATCGTCAGAATAATATAACCTGACGAAAGAGACTTTGGTAGATGCAATGACGATAGGAATGCGTCGTACAGAGCAGGTGCGCTGAATTTCTCTGGTGTGTTGGAGATAGTGGTTATGCGACTTTGGAGCGGAGGATCAATGCTTTGCTGGACATAGAGTATAGTCAGTGGGGTTCCCGCAAACAGGACGAGCGATACTGTACAGTCGGCAGCGAAATCGACATCCTCCCTGTAACTTGAGCTGTCTAGGCCGGATGGTCCTGCGCGTACACGTTGGGTATTCTACACATACACGTCCCTGGTTTCTACACGTACTCTACACGCGCCCAAATACTAGACGTACACGTAGCCAAAGATGGTTAGCCTACTAATTTCTGACTGTAACCTGTGTTCAGCTGGCGACATTTCTAATCTAACTCTCATGCATGCGGAGGAGTCACGCACACAGTGCCTGGGCCGGGCAAGTGGATAAGATCTGAAGCTTCACGAACAGGGACGGTTGAACCTTGGCTGCCAGATTTGGACCCTCGTCGGTGCGGCCCGTATTTAGATCCCGAGCCTGAGCGGGCTGGATGGTGGACCAGACGCACCCGGCGCTAACTAGTGGGCAAACATACCTGAGCCAACCAATGTAACCGCCGAAGACAGCGCATCCTGCATGCGCACTCATCGAGGCGCAGAGCCAATTCTGAAGTCGCATCTGCTATGAGCAACGACTGGTGTGACTCACATAGCGCAGCCAAGTCGGATATTGTGATCTTGCAACATTTCACCACGATTCCGGTGTCTTCATAAGGCGTGTGGTTCGGATATGGGCAAGATCGTCGAAGTGTTGCGCTGTAATTATGCGGGTATCCACGATTACTTGACCACCAGGATGCCTCGTTTTTCTCTCACCGATTGAAGTTTGCAATTGCTATTGCCGCATCACGAAACCAACACACGAGGAAGTCAGTTACTTGCGTGCAAGTGGTACTTATTGCCAAATTTGCAACTAAATCACCATGTCGGAAAACACACTTGACAAGCCATTCGACGAATTTGTTACTTCGTAAGTCGACAAGAACCTTATCACAATGGCTTATTGGCCACAAGGAGCATTCCCCACCAGACCACCAGCAAAGAAACTTCACATTGGATTGTTAAACTACAGTAAATTATGATGAAGAAGAAAGATAATCCCAGGGGCACTGCGTCTCCTAACCAAATGACCACAGCATTACCAGTCATAAATTACCTCATCTTCGATGTGATCTTCGATGTATACAGGTGTTGGGGCAATCGGGGCCGCTTTCTCTGCCGGCTTCTTTTTGCTTTTCTTGGGTTTCTTCGTTGAAACCAGGCCATGAGAATACTCGTTTCTCTCAGCAGCAGGTAGGGGCGAAGAGATAACAGGGCTCCCACCGGCTTGAAGCATAGGACCATCCACTTTGCTTGAGTTCCCTGACTGCCTGCTCTCATTCAAACCCGCCCTGCTGTTCGTTAGACGATTCGCTTGCGGGTGGTGAGGAGACCTAGGCTTACATGTCTATCTTCGTCCTTCCTTGAGGATCGGAACCAGGTGGGTTGCCCGGAGCACCATCCAAAGCTGCCGCCTTCTCTTTCGAATCAGTCTGGATGTCAGCGTTCTCCCAGAACCGGGAACGAGGGCGATAACCAAACGACTGGCTTCCTGCAACGTGATATTTGTTCATACGCTTCAGTTCAATGAGGCTGGATTCGAGGATTCCAAGTTTCTTCGTTGCATGTGCCCTTCCTTGCGCCGAATCTTCGTCCTCGGCGGCAATTTGTTGGATCTTATCGTCGCCCATGTCGCAAACGATGTGAGCAGATATCAGCTCCGGCAACTTCTGAAGGAGGCATTTCTCGATTGCAAGAACGCTGATTCCGTCGACAACCGTTTTGCGAGCAACCTGTTCAATTTCAGCGCGAACTCAATTGTGGGAATAGTAAGAAGCACTTTGTAATACGCTTCCATCATGTCGGTAGCGAGAGAGCAAGCGAACTTGTCCATGTTCACCTCGGTGTGATCGGAAAGCGTTTCGACCAGACTTTTCATATTGAAATGATGATATTCTATTTCATGCACTACGCTTCCTTTGTCATCAAAGTAAGCCACGAGCTGTCTCTCCAACGCCGCTGCGCGACGCTTAGCCTGGACCCTTTGGACGGTGTCGGTCAAATAGTGGTTGTATGTAATCGGATGACCACAAAGGTGAGGGCCCAAAATCTCGTCGACTTTCAAGTTCAAGTCCTTCTTCAGGCCGTCAAGCGATGGGTTGATCACCCTCGCGAGGAGCTTTTCCGCAGTATGTATGTCGGTGACATGCTTCAAGGTAGCGCTCACTGCTGCGAATGTTGCCTCGAGGATTCGATCAACAAGATTGTAAATCAAGGCACTCCATGGCTGGCATTGTTTCGAGAAGAGCTCCTCGACGACCAGAGGATTGAACGTGCTAGGCAATTCGCGACCCCTGCTCTTTCTCATGAGTTTCTGTACCTCGTCGATATATTCATCACGGGATATTTCCCGGCGCTTGTTGGGGGATGCGTGCTCGACAATGGCCTGAGCATGGCCCTCTAAGCACATCTCTTCTGAAAAGTCCGACAAAGCGTTCTGCACCACTGCGCGCAGGCGCCTCTCGTAAACGCCTTGAGCAGTGACGTCTGAAAGGAATGGATCGGTGTACACTCCGTCGACAGCGGCCTTGATCAAACTATAGAAACGCTGGCCGATATTGAGCAAATAACGCCGCTGGTCAGCTAGTGTTGCTCGCCCTGCACCAAGTTTGTCCAATGTGTCTCGACATTCTTTTGCTTCAGTTTCGACATCTTGCAGAACGCTTGGAAGCTGTTGAAGAATATGGTTTCCGAGAATTCCGCCGAGCCGGGTCACAAGGGCGGCCTTTCCAAGCTGAGAAGGTGACAGAGAAGTCCAGACGCCTCGTGCGAAGAAGTTGGCCTCGGACCTGTCGCGTTCTGCGGTGGTGGCATTTCGAGAGTTGAAGTCCCTATTCTTTAAGACATGCCATCCAAGGCGGAACTTAACGTCCTTATTTTGGGCGAGATTGACATAGTACCGTTCGCTTTCTGAGCCTTCGTCCAGTGTGTCAGGTTTCGTAATGATGCCGAGCGTACGTTGGCCGTTTGGGTCAACTTTGCGAGCAAGTCAGGTAACGGACTGAAGTGCGAACTCATTCTTAGCCGACACCACCGCGCAAATAACGCTCCGAGGCTTCTCCATGTAAGACAGCACAAGAGATTCGACCATTTCTGCGTCCTCGTCAGACTGATCCTTGTTTCCGGCGGTGAACAACCCCGGGAGGTCCACCAGCGTCAAATGGGGTTGTTCTGGTCCCGAAATCTCGACCCGGAGGATGTCGGAACTGAAGACCTTTCCAGTGTCATTCAATCCCATCACTGCTTTTGCACTTTCGATGATATGTCCGATATCCATGTCATTCAGGGTAGCTGAAAACTTCCTCATTTCTTCCTTCTTCTGCTCGGGCTGTTCGGGACTCGGGATGATGCAAATATTAACGCCAACCGTGGGGCTTCGGCGAAGAATGAGTTCTGTTGCAAACCGGGTACAGAGGGTGTCCTTTGTTGGGAACGACATCCCTGAGATTGCTTCCAGGGCGGAACTCTTCCCAGAAGACTGGTCACCACAGATGATGATTTGGGGTAAATCAATGTAACGACCTATGCCCTGAGAGCGAAGCTTGTCGACAATATCAAAGAGATCACGGTGCTCACTATTCTGCAGAAGGACAGGGGGGCTGCCTTGCGGCTCGGCGGAAGCTGTCTTCGCCATATTGACAGATAGTTCAGCAAAGTAATGAAAGGTTCGAAGAGAAAAAGGTCGACGTTGAGGCTTCGTTGCAAACGATGCTGACTTTGAAATGGCGAAAGAAATAAACTTCAGTCAGGATGAAATGGCCACTCTTTATAGAAAGTACTGGCTAGTACAACAAAATCCTCTTCTCTATAAGTCTACCCGTCTTTCAAGCCATCCAGCCATTGACACGTACGTATGAGGCAAACAAATGCCTTGCAGATTTGGGAGAAGATACTGGTAACCGCTCGAATAACGCGGCTACATACTGTGCATTGGCCTTTGACAGATCCGAGAATGCTCACCGTTGATTCTTCAAGCAGGGAGTTTCAAATTTGACAGGAAATTGAAGGGAATGGTCCAAATAAAATCGTTGTAAAGTCGGATAGATGCATGTCCAAAAGTTGGAACTGTGTTAGCAGGACTGAAAAGGCGATGGAGAGGACTTGGTTACGCGAAAGAACGGGAAATGACAGATTATTGAGATGCGCGATTCACCAGTCTTTCTCCATGTGCATCAAAAACTTCTGAGGCTTGGAGATAAACACGATCTGAAAACGCCAGTAACGTCTGCATCTCAGACGGACATTGAGTTGATCAGAGTCGTTGTGTCGACTTCCCAGGATTACTTGGCTTTGGCAAGGAACAGTTCAAGCTGCCGATCCACGTTCAACCGAGGTCTTAGGCTTTAGATGTTGAAAGGCGAAGAGTCCACTGGTTGGTTTACCAGATCAGATATTGCGCATTGTCCGTGTCTCAAAATCCGTTCGCTCATGCAAACGATGGCATCGTGGGCCCGGTTGTCAACACCACGGTATAACCCTCTCGACGAACGAGTGAATCGTTGACTGGGTTGTCGAACGGCAGCGCAATAATAGGATGTAAGAGGTGAACCAACGCCATATCTTCAGCACACTGGATTGCAGGGGTGAGAGATTCACTCGAAGTCATTAAAAGAATTGAATCTTTCTGGTTTCCCTAAAATTCAAGGTGGGGACAAGAACCAATGAGAAGATGCCACGTATTCAGGGGCGCATCAAATTAATTGCAGCGATGGATGGGCGGGAGACGCGCGAAGACTATCTCCCCATATCCCTCGTTGACTAAGTATGTATGGTAACAAGTCCAGCCAATGGCAGACGAGCCGAGTAGTACTACGGTGAGAGAGTTCCCACGTGGTCACCCACCGTAGTACTATTCCATCTCTAACCTGCTTGAGTACGGCAGAGCGGACGGGATGCCCTATATTCAGGTTGATGTGGCCGTATGTAGTAGTAACTAAAGCTTTTCTCAATATCAACCTAGCAATCTACAAAATTCAAACAAAACAAAAACATACAGCATGTCACGGTGCTATTTTGGAGGACCATGGATATGGATCACTATCGTAAAACAGCTTGTATTCGACGAAACGAAAGATGAAGAAGGAGAATGGGAAACCAGAACAGAGAGAGAGATGTAATATACACAAAGCGGGATTGTGAATCACCACGTGATAACCCCTAACACATCGGAGGCATCACATCACATCGTGCATCCGGATCGTATCGTGAGGCATCCATATCAGGCCATAAGGCAACAATCATCAACGCCTCAAAGCACGAAAAGTACGACTGTGACACAGCAATAAGAGTTCCCCATAACTCTCCCGCCGGTATAAAAGAGGTTGAAATCAGAGGGTCAATACCACCTAAAGACGGGGTCCGTCGAAAGTACACTCTCTGCATCCCATGGTAAAGATTGTAAAGATGTTTCTTTCCCTTAAAGAGGCCCGGAGCGTAGGTATTGTAGATCCTGCGTTTAGCGGAGAGAAAACCAGATGAGGCCAAGTTTGCCATCTCTTCCATATATCCTTGGTGCAGTGTTGCTTTGCAATTAGGGACAGCTTGTCATGTTATCTGGATCTATCGTTGTGTGTTCAATCTGTTGACCCCTTTCGCAAATGTCAGAGTCGCTTTAACCACCTAGCGATTTGTATGCTCCTAGGGGTTGGGAGTCCATAAATTCTATGAGAGTCCCAACCTACCGTAGGGGTGTAAGTGTCCTACAAATCAGCCATGGGCAGGGAAAGGTACTCACTCTTGGAAACTGGCAAATATGAGGTTCCACATCAGCTCGCCTGCAATTACGACACCCAGTGCCATTACCAAGGTCGCCGCTGCAAACAATTTTTCGTCTTCTGCATCGTCCGCACTTCAATCGTCATCAGTAAAACTCAGTCGTGTCTTTTCCTGTCGACATAGATGTAGCGGTTCTCGTACTTGGGCTGCAGACGGAGCGGCTAAACTGAAAGAAACTTACAGCAAGAGCAATTCTTTTCCTCCGCGGTGTGCGACCGAACATATCCTGAGACCCAGGCTCAATGCTCTGCTTCGTAAGCAGTAGCTCGCCGGCCACTTCGTGCTCACCCACCACAGCTACCGATAATGAAGCCCGACCAAAATTGTCCTTAGAGTTAGGGTCGACATCATCCCTTGCGAGAAGGAGATTCATGGCCAGTGTATAACCCTTCATAGAAGCCCAAGCAAGTGGCGTCCGGCCGTCGTTGTCCTTCGAGTCCGCTTCGACGTCGTCCCGCTCGACCAACAGCCGAACCATCGCCTCGTGCCCTCTCGCTGCCGCCCACAACAGCGGCGTCCGACCGTCGGTGTCCTTCGAGTCCGCTTCGACGTCGTCCCGCTCGACCAGCAGCCGAACTATCGCCTCGTGCCCTCTCGCTGCCGCCCATAACAGCGGTGTCCAACCGTTGTTATCCTTCGGGTCCGCTTCAACGTCGTCCCGCTCGACCAGCAGCCGAACCACCGCCTCGTTCCCTCTCGCTGCCGCCCATGCCAGCGGCGTCCGACCGTCATTATCCTTCGAGTCCGCTTCAACGTCGTCCCGCTCGACCAGCAGCCGAACCATCGCCTCGTACCCTCTCGCTGTCGCCCATAATAGTGGCGTCAGACCGTTATTGCCCCTCGGGTCCGCTTTGGCGGCGTACTGCTCGGCCAGCAGCCGAGTTATTGCTTCGTTTTCTCTCGCTGCCGCCCATGATAGCGGCGTCCGACCGTTATTGTCCTTCGAGTCCGCTTCGACGTCATCCCGCTCGACCAGCAGCCGAACTACCGCCTCGTGCCCTCTCCATACTGCGCATGACAGCGGCGTCCGACCGTCGTTGTCCTTCGAGTCCGCTTCGACGTCGTCCCGCTCGACCAGCAGCCGAACTACCGCCTCGTGCCCTCTCGCTGCCGCCCATGCCAGCGGCGTCCGACCGTCGTTGTCCTTCGAGTCCGCTTCGACGTCGTCCCGCTCGACTAGCAGCCGAACTATCGCCTCGTGCCCTCTCGCTGCCGCCCGTGACAGCGGCGTCCGGACGTTGTTATCCTTTGAGTCCGCTTCGACGTCGTCCCGCTCGACCAGCAGCCGAACTACCGCCTCGTTCCCTCTCGCTGCCGCCCATGCCAGCGGCGTCCGACCGTCGTTGTCCTTCAAGTCCGCTTCGACGTCGTCCCGCTCGATCAAAAGCGTCTTTGTCAAGTAAACCAGTCCGTACCTCGCTGTAAGGTGTAGTCCGGTAGTTTCATTCGGGAAAGATTCACTATAGCCAAGATATTTATAGTTTGGCACTGATGCAGCTTGGATGGTGGAGGTAACTAACGCTTTGTCGCAGAGAATGGCTAGCGCTAAGCCAGAAATTGTGTTCTCCACAGGTCGTATGTGTTCGCTCCAGTGATGCGCTGTGTAATCGTAGAGCACACTCTCGGCGATCCTCTGTTCGAAAGCCCTATCATCAGCACAGCTGCCACTCCGAAATGTATCAAAAGACAAATACGTCAAGCAGGCTACCGCTATCGCTTCCTGAGCGCCAGGGTTCCATTTCAGGCGTATCCGCTCAAAGTACTGCTGTGTCGTGTAGTGCACGAGCCGGATGACGTTACTCTCCTCGTCTACCGCAACAAGCCCAGCGCAGACGGAGATAATTTCCTCGATATCGTAAATGTTGTCATTATTCAGAGCTTTATCGCCCGGCTCGATTGCGAGAGCATGGCATAGCTCTTGAGTAGTAAGTTTTCTCTGGGCATATGTTATCCAGGATAGAGCACGCCTGGCCAGCGAACTATCCTCGGCTAATTGTCCATCTATTCGCTTGATTGCCTCGCCATAGGCCTCGTCAAGCGCTACCGAACCTTTCGACAGCTTCCCTAGAGTGGACATCACTTTCTGTCTATTCCTTTTATCAAGCAGCGAGTCAACGTAAAGACGCGCGAGAAGGAACCTAGCCGCTTTATAAGTACGAATATATCGTAAGAGAAAATGTCTAAAGAGTACTTACATGCCATCAACAGCTTCGGTAATCTTGTCTTGAACAGCACGCTGGAGTTTGTCGTCCCGTAGAATGCATTTCGGCAGACGCGGTATCTGACCTTTTATAAATCGCCTTACGTCCTCGTCGCTGGCTCGCAACTCTAGAGTAGGGCTCGATCGAAATTTCTGCGTTACTCCAGGAATGAACCGGGAGGTAAATAAGAGCCGTACGTCCCCTTTCGTTTGCAGTTTACGGAGCTTGTCGATAATTCTGCTCCGCTCACCATCTCTGTCTTCGTATTCGTCCAGCGCATCTACTATAATATGTACTATAGTGTGACTCGAGCAGACGGACTGTAGAGCCTCGAATATGTCGTCAAGATATGGTCTGCTTCCTCGCTCTGAGTAGCGATCGTAGAGTTCTGTCACCGGAGCTGCCATATCCGGCGAACTTCGCACGAGCTGCTTCAAGAGGGCAGCAAGCAGAGTACGCGCGCTGTGATCAGCTTTCGCCTTGTTGTTGCAAAATATGTATGCTACTCCAATGTCACCGCTCTGTGTGGATTTGTAGAGGTGATCAATGGCAATTGCTGCCATCATCGTTTTGCCAGCGCCTGGAATACCAGGACAAAACAGTGTCCTATTGGCTCCCTGCAACCATCCTTGAAACTCTGGAGAGTCTAGTAACCATCGCCCTGTATCTTCTTGTCTCCGTGAAATAATATCGTGCTGCTGGGCCGGGAAGTCTGTGGGCGATAGCCAATCCAAAATAGGCTGGCGCTGCTGAAGATTCTGAGCATTCCATTGCAGATTTTGAGTTTCGCGGATGGTGGCCATGTATGCCTGAAGATGGGGGAGTGTATCTCGCACCGCTTTAGTGTCGTCCTTAATTGCTTGGGATAGTTGACTGAAGATACTGCTAAGCGTGTGTATCGTTAACTATAGCTGCTTATAAGTACTCACAAATGGTCCATCTCTAGCGCGATGCTTACAAGACTCTTCAGCCGTTCCATTCGTGCGAGAGTGCTAGCAACTTCTGCCTTGCTGAACTTCCACAATAGTCGCTTTTTAGACATTTGCGTGCCATTTTGTATTTCGATCTTCGACTGCAACTGCTCTAAGGCCTGCTTGAACTGGTCGCAAGGTCCACCCGCAACATTGAGAGCCAGAACGGCCGTGAACCACGGATCACCGGCCTGACCATATTCGAGGCGGCAATGAAGGTTTATCAGGAGGTTCAAGAGGTTAGATGCCTCGAGCATGCATTGCTGGCATTCTTTTGGCGCGTCCTTGACGTCGCTCAGGTATTGGATGAATTTGCAGGTGAGCTGTAGGATGGCAGTAACGCTAGTAGTAACGCTGAGCGGCTCCATTTCGCGATAGGACTAAGTGGGTAGAGCGACGAGAGTTGCGCTTCGATGAGGACATCGATTCAGCATCTTATAACTGCATCGATGCAGCCTTGCGTCTAAATGGTGCTACAGATGCGGCGCACTCTGCCTCGCCAATGTCTGCGCCATCCTACTGCGTCTCGTGTTTGCTGGCATGTGTCAGCAACTATTGTATACTCGTCCTGTCGTAACCTAGTAGGGCTCGCCATCCTCATAAAGTCTTCATGAAATCTAACCCGATTTGGCCCTAGCGCTCATAAAAGGCCTCATAAATACTAGCCTAATTAGGTATAGCATTACCTAAATGTTGGTGCCTGAGGCACCAACATAGACATTTGGAGATCCTACCCGTTCCTATATAGCTCTTTCTAGCTGTATAAGTCTTGTAATCGACATCTTCATCGCTCAAATGACCAAACCATAACAGGAATGGACGTGTATGTAGATAGCTTCAATCTTCATGAAGGAGGACAGCATGATGACTCAGCATTGCACGGGCCTACTACTGGTACGTTCCTACGGTTCCTTGAGCCTCATCATTAAACCATCATTTAATAATTTCAAATGAGCTCATTTGGATTGCCCTAGCTCCGCGCCCCTAGAGAGCCCCGTCGCTTAGAACTATACAGGAGGTTGGTTCTCTAGATTTAGACGTCACGGTTCACGTCGCTGCTGGGATTTCGTACGATCGGAAAGGGATCTTTTTCTTTTACTCCGATCCCGCGGAACCTGCAGCGAAGGAGGCCTATAAACCCGCCAAACCACGCAGATCTAATGTTCAGACTGAGGAGGAGTATCAGGCTGTCCTGGGGGCTTGGAATGAGGCCCCGAAGGGCTCAGAATTGGACGCTGATATAAAGATCAATGGGAACTCGATGACGCAGCGGTTTATGCCCAATATATCCTGCCACGTCATATCGATCATATCAAGGGCCTACAGTCTCATTTCAAGCGTCAATTCCACTTCCAGGAGGTGGGAGATGCGTCCCATGGAACGTGGTCCCCAAGGAATCCCCCCGCCGACCTAAAACGCGCTGCAAAACTTTGGATACTACCTCATCCTGCGTAGTCACCGGATCTCAACCCTATCGAGGCAATCTGGCTTATTATGAAGCAACGTCTACGCGGTGGTAGATGGCAGACGGTGGCAGAGTTTAAGGAGGCGATCGAGCGCGAATGGAAACGTATCACACAGCAGGAGATACGCCAACGTATTGCAGAGATGCCTTGGCGATGTAAAAAGGTCGTAGAACTTAAGGGAGGACGTGTTCGCAGCGATTTGTGGTGATAGATAGATATATAGGCGTTGTAATGGAGGAGATAATTATGCCAAGATCCCCCACGCAGGTAATTTTCGTTATCTCAGCCACAGCTCAGACCGTCGCTCGAAACCTGGCTTGCGCCAAGCTACGCTAACGCCCAAATGGGCTAGCTGGGAGTAAACTCCTTTCAAGGAGGTCTGAGGGCACGTGGCATGACTTTAGGAAGAGAAAGACGCAGAATCGGAGTGATGAGCATTATCGGCCTTGATATCACGAAAAACAACACGAGACTCGACAATTTGACGCCATAAGATCCAAGAAAATGGTACCGGACAGATATATATCTAGATTTTAGATTGCCTACGTCTAACCATGATAGGATAAAAAGGGTGCTAAGGCTGCCTCAGAGGCGTAGTGGACGAGCGTATATCTAAGCGATCAACCTCCCATACTACCTATTCGAACTCCACGCCATTCGCACTGAACAAGGAGAGACAGTGAGGTCCTAAAGGTCGATTAGTGTGTCAAAGATCCTTCTCGGTATGCCTAAAGCAAAGAAGACTAAGAGCCGTCGGCATCGAAGGGGGGCCAAGTCTAATTCCGCTCCTAATGCTCCTAGCACTAGAGGACGAGAACTCGAGCGGATCCTGGATATCCCGGGCTCAGAGCTTGCATCCTATATTAAACAGTTGGTGCGGGCAAAGGAGCGTCGCGTCAATATCCACGATGAGGTTTCCATTGACGACATGCTGTCTATGCAGGTGAAGATAATCGAGTCTACTTTGAGGAGGTTACTACGCGATCGATATCCCCAAAGTCACACTGCTGTTGAACCGAAGGATCTACAGATCGCTATTCTATCCCGCCTTATCTTTGCAAAGCAGGATACAATCCTAATCGCACAGACAGGCTTCGGAAAGAGCTTGATATAGAAGATCGCTGTTAGGAGGCCTCGAATCTTCGTAACCTGCTACTACCACACTTTCGCTCTATGTCATGTGTCCCCTTGATTTTCACTCGTCAACTCATATAATCCCTGCAAAACGCCCCCAGACGGCTTTCTGAAAGCCCAAGTCGGCGCTAGCCGGGGGCGTGGCGCTAGCGCCTTCTTCTTGAAATCCCGTGTGGCTGTGCGAGATAAAATTTTCGCACCCCGGTGATAGATCCCTGAAGCATCAAGGCAGTATGGCGTCCTCCGAAGGGGAAGAAATTGATGGCCCATACCACGCAGAAAACTATGTTTTGAATCGAGCTGCAACGACGCACCCTTACATTAAAAGGCGAATTTAAAGGTCAAATTATATTTTCAGAGCTACATCTACCTGCTATAGGAGTCTAAATTAAATTATCCTTTTTGATGGTTATGATTTTACGGGAAGAAAACGTTTTATGGGCCATCAATTTCTTCCCCCACAGAGGTATGTTTATTGATGCATCTGCCATAACCGTATCACTCAGGAATATAAGGAGTTTCAAATGGGGCCTCTGCCTGGGGGGTAATGCGAGCCAAATGTCGTCGCTCGCCTGTAGTCCAATCGACGATAACAGAGTGCGAAGTTACGCGGTTCTGTTCTTCACTTAACCACTCTGTTACCACTTAGATTTTGATGGAGTTGAACTTACATCCCAAATAACCACAGTCCCGGGAGCCCATCTAACGCGAGCCTGATAGTCAATACCACGGCCAATATGATCGTACAAAAATTTCAAGAGCATCTCGCTCTCTTCATTCTTAAACCCGACGATGCTTTTGGTGACTTAATGCCAATTAGCGAAGGATTAAGAGTAATAAACAGCGGGATATGAAGACTTACACCCCTCATTCACAAACAAGGCTTTCTCGCCAGTTGCCGGGTGAGTGCGCACGATAGGATGCTCCGAAGCAACAGGTTCTCGTCTTACTATTCCATCACGTTTCTTGCTAGACTCGGCTTGTTGAAGTCCAGAGTGAATAGCCTTGAGTCCATGCAAACGCTCCTTCAGGAGGGGTGACAATCGATTGTAGGCCTCGACCTGGTTGACAAATCCAGTGTCACCACCAACTTCCGGAACATCCAAGGCGTACAAAAATGTGGTGCCTGGTGGTTGCTTTTCGTTTGAGACGTCGGAGTGCCATCCGACACTGCTATTCCGATTGCCCCTAAAGCTGTCAAATTCGCTTACATTGCCATTTCGATGCACTATATGGAGCTCAGGGTAGCCCTCGGGGGATCCGGTGGTTGGATGGATGTGGCGGCGGCCGAAATAACCTCCAAAGTCGAGGGCCTCCTGGATGGGTAGGTTTTCAAAGTCCTGGTTGCGGAATGCGACAACCTTTCGCTGGGCAACAAGCAAGGCGAGCTGGTCTTTACCAGCGTCGCTGAGTTTGCTAAGTTGGACCCCAGTGACTTCTGACCCTGTGGTGGGTGTGAGGTGTTGGAGCTTAGAGCCTTCAGTCAGAAGGTCCTTGAAGCTTGGATCTGCACCTTTGCCGCGCTCGATATGCTCGAATGGCTGGAGGGGTGCGTATTTCTCGCCATGGTCCCAGACTGGCAAATAATGAGGGTGCTATGTGATCGTTAGTCCACGTTTACAGCAATTGGAGTGTGACAACATACACTCGCAGCGACCGTATCACCCTCTTCGTCAATTGCTCTCCGAACTTTGGGCTTTTCCTCCATGGACTGAGAATTGGCCTTTACGGAGATAGGGAGATGTTGTGTTTGGGTAGATGTCACGGTGGCCATTTTCGGTCAATAGAAGGTAGTGATCTAAGTGCTCTCAGTCTTTGGCGATGGATAAAAAGAATAACCTCAATCTTGCATCAATCAATAGCAATGGCACAGGCTACTAGGAATGAATACTATATGATCTTCGAAGCAGTCGTCACTATAAAGCATCGATATCGGATATAATGGCACCAACAGCGTTTTAGGGTATCACTTGACCATCCTTTGTAGGTTGATTCATACGTTGCTCCAATGGTTCAGCATCCAATTTCGGCGTCACCTTCAACCACGATGGCGTATAAGCAGCACAGCATTCCCTCATTTGAACAGACCAATTAGCAAGTCTGCTTAGACGGAACAGCCCCCTAGTCTCACCCACTGCTGATCTAGTTATCCGGTAACTCTATTCGGTGTATTTGCTGCTGCATAGATTCATGCATTGGTTCCTGGCGAGGAGGAGTGTGCAGTAATGTTGATACTGCTAAGGATCAATGGCGCCGTGGGGGAAGATTGCGTTATGCCGACCATGAAATGATACAATCAACGCGTCGTGGTGCATGATCGCCCATCTCTCCCCTCTATGCTCGACGTTCCGACTTCCGAGTACATAGCAAAGATTTTTATAACGCGAAATCAAGGAGAAGATTCGAAAGCAGTAAAATAGACAGTAGACTTCTTAATATAACAATTTCAGATCATTACTCCGTACACTAAATGGGATCGGAGAGACTGAAGTACGGAGTAGTGATAGACTGGGTGATGGGAACACTTCGGCAAATCACGTGGTTGCTCTGCAAGGGGGACCAAAAATCTGTTTCCAGTGGGACGATATATACCATAATTAGAACCAAACAGGAATGATCTAACTTCATCCACGCTCCTTCAGGCATTGGCCACCATATGGCATCTGTGATTTTCTATTGCAACACTATTACAATCCGTATGTTAGGTATTTTTGAACAGCTTTACCTGATTCGGTAAAGAAGTATTGTATTCTTTCATCTGTCTGTCCAACGTCTTTCTCAGCACAAGCATATTGGCAATATCAACTTTAGCTTCGTATTTATCTAGAGAATTCGATTGACGGTTAACAACAGCTACTGTTTGTGTTCCCATAATATTATGTTGGAGCCCAAATGCTTTTCTATCCCACGTGGAGGAGGTAGAAGAGAACGACCTTGAACCTCAGATCATGGTTTCAGTAAGCTGATCGATCACATCATACTCATCCCGGGATAGCATATGATTCCTGGTTACTATATGGAAAAAGATCATTTCTTATTGTGCATCATTAAGACTAGACGAGAAGGACTTTGACCTTAATCTCCACAATGGTTACTAAAAGCCTATCAATCACCTCGTACTTACGATAGATGCTATGTTATTCCTGGTTACTATGCGGGGACAATGAGCAGATCACTCCTGCGTTCATTACTACTGAATCATTCCTTTCATGCATCATTTGAGGCTAAGGGAAAGGACGATTTGGCCTGCATATCCGAAAATGATTTCTAACGCACTATTAATCACCTCATACTTACTATGGATGTCATATTTTCCCTAGTTCTAATGTGGAGGAAGATGGGAGCACATGGTTCTTATATCCATTGCTACATCAGTTATTATCGAGTCTCATTAACGCTGTAGAAATCTCGAGAAGTATATTTGACTTTGCTTTCCCCCCGATCCATCTACTAAGAAGGATTAGAATAGAGCCCTATTCTTACCTGCCCTACTACGCCATGACAGTCGAACGGCCCAAAGACGAGTCGGAAGAAGACTCCAGCCTATCGTCCGAACAAATTGACGTAGGGCATACGGTGGCAAAAGCTGTCTTACACGATGCAAAGTTGGTGACAACGAAAGGCAACATTATCACCAATGATGGAGCTATCGTGGCCACTGGAGAAATTGACTCGAGTGTTTCGGCCAATCCCTTTTCGGATCCCCAGATCCGAGACTACTACGTTGGTGTCTATGAGAAAGCAAAATACGAGTGTCGACATGTCTTCGACGCGGGTGCCACATGGACAGAAGAAGAGGAGAAGAAGATGGCCAGGAAACTTGACTGGCATGGCATGTACACAATTTAGTGTCTAGAGATTCGACTGATGATTATTTGTAATAGTATGCTTATGGGCATGCGTCATGTTCTTTAGTCTACAGATTGATCGTGGAAACATCAATCAAGCCGTTTCGGGAACCTTTTTAAAAGATCTTCACCTTAATACTAATGGTGGGCAGACCGACACTTGCCTTGTAAATGACCTCTGACTTAAAGTACTAGATTTCAATCTTGGGAATACCGTGTTCCTGGTGTCTTTCCTTTTGGCCGAGTTACCATCTCAATTAATCTCGAAGAAGTTTGGTCCCGACCGCTGGATTCCTACCCAAATGGTTATATGGTCTATAGTCGCCATGGCGCAAACTGGGCTTCGAGGCAGAGCCGATTTTCTTGCAACTCGTGCTCTTCTTGGAATGCTTGAAGTGTGTTAGCTGATGCTCATAATTCTTCCCTACTGATGGATCAAATCTAGGGCGGTTTCATCCCAGACCTAGTACTTTGGCTCTCCTACTTCTACACCGGCCGGGAGCTCCCCATCAGGCTGAGTTTCTTCTGGACAGCCTTGAGCATTACTGGCATCATTGCTTCTCTTCTTGCCTTCGGAATATTCCATCTCGAAGGCCACCACGGTCTTGCAGGTTGGAGGTAGAGTTCGATTTGCTTCATTCTTGGATAGTGATTGACACAATTTTAGGTGGATCTTCTTAATCGAAGGAACGCTCACACTTGTTATTGGCATTGTGTCCTTCTTCCTTATGCCGGCATCTGCAGCCCAGACAAAGACGTGGTTTCGACCCAAAGGATGGTTTACCGATCGCGAACTTACTATTGTGGTGAACCGAGTGCTACGAGATGACCCTAGCAAAGGTGACTTAAAACCTATAGTTATCTTAAGGCAGACTGATGCTGATCTATTATAATAGGAGATATGCATAATCGACAGGCGATCACCCACGTCGACTGTGGACTGCACTGAAAGATTATGATCTCTGGCCGGTAGGTATATTCTTAACTAGGACACCAGCGGATGCTAACTGTGTACCGGTATCAAGCTTTATATGCTCGGTGTCATCAACCTTGTTCCACAGGCGCCACCCGCTCAGTATCTCACGCAAATTCTTCGGAATCTTGGGTTTACCACTGTAAGCATTCTCTCTAACGGGTGTTCCACCAGCTAATGCCTCTAGTTCGAAACCAACCTCCTTACAATCCCATCAGCAGTGGGCCATATGATCACTCTTCTCGCCGGCACCTGGCTAAGCGAAAAATTTAATCAACGCGCGCTTTTCGCCATGCTACAACCCCTATGGACCCTTCCTTGCATCATTGCTCTCCGAGTGTGGCCAGGTCTTATGAAAGAACAATGGTCAACTTATGCTCTACTCGTCGTGTTACTAAGTTATCCATATGCTCATGCTATTAATGTGTAAGTATACCCCACTGTTAGATAGGCGCGAACTCTCGTAACTAGAGCTAATGACTTTCGGCATTTTATAGGGCTTGGGTGTCGAGAAACTCGAATAACGTTGGCTCTCGCAGCGTATCTGCCGCTCTATTCAATAGTAAGCTATGTTTCTTTCGGCTTCTAGTAACACCAGACCTAACGACACCGCTCCAGTGAACATTCAAATTGGCGGCATCATCTCGGCGAACATCTATCGGGAAAATGACAAGCCGCTGTATAAGCGAGGCAACCAGGCCTTGATTGGAATTAACGTACTGAGTATTGCTCTGTTCCTCTACGCAAAGATATACTACGTCGTAAAGAACAAAATTCGTGAGCGCAAATGGAATGCGATGACTCCTGAGGTAAGTTTGCCGAGTTTGGCTTCATGGATCCTGTCTACTGGGGATCAAGACTTCGTGTCGTTTGTTGACTATCATCCCAGGAGCGCATCGACTACACATACAATACTACGGACACTGCCAGTCGGCGACTCGACTTCCGATTTGCCCATTGAGACTCAATTTCGGATAGATCGAGCTCTATACGGCTTCACTTATCCGTGTGGAAGCATTAGCCAGTAACTGCGAACTGGCTGACAAGATCTCGTTCAAACTTAATTTAGTAGTTATCCGTATTGGCAGATTATAAAGCCACGGTTTGACACGATTGAGGAAAGAGTTGATTTGATTTTCTATATAACTCAGCAAACAAAAGTTAAGAAAAAGGCAAGGAAAATAAAGCAAAACAAGAGAAACTATTATACATGAAGTGCTCATTGGTAACACATGCTTACGATTCACCTTCCTACTCCTGTGACTACCAGTTCAGTTGGTAACCGGTGAAGATGATGAACAGATACAAGTGCTGTGCTAGGAGCTCCCATCACTATACTCAATCCGTGGGCGGCAACTCTGGGAGTTGGTTGTGCGAACCAACACGACAACCGATCATTGACAGCCAATTTTGTAGGGGCAAAGCAGATTTCTTAGGATCTTGCCCTCACGAAATGGATGGACTTGCTCCGTCGTCCTCGTTTTTTTCAGGTTGGTGTGACCATATGTAAGTACTATAATATCAATCTTTTGTATTCTTATAGGTATGTCTCAAAATGCATTTTGCCTCAACACTTGCAATCATTTAAGTGGTATACAAGAACTTCGGGCTCTCATCGCCCAGCTCAGCGACTTCCTCTGTCGACATGTCCGCGATACGAGCATCGGCTTCTCCGGAAATTCGCTTCTGATTCTCCCGTGCAAAATAAAACCACAAGCAAGCATATACTAGGACACCCCAAAGAACCATTGCCAGCGTAACCGCATGGCCTCGAATATACCGGGGTCCTTGGTTTTTAGGGTACAACTGAATAGGGAGTTCGTTAGCTTGTCGAGATTTAGAAATACTCCGAAGGTCAATCGAGATGCTTCACTTACAAAGCTAGCCAGTATACCTGCGCAGTTCCCTATTGATAGCTGGAGTCCCGTCGCAGTAGTGCGCTTTCCATAGCGTGGACAATTTGCTGGCAGCCATGCCAGCGGCAACCCGACAACGACATAGAGGCCCATCGCTACCAAAAAACAACCCGTGTAGTGAACACCAGCGCTTTGTGGGCTCAACAGTAACGCATATCCGACAACCGAGACCAGCCCAAAGATACAGGTATACAAGCCTCTTCTTTGCTGGCGATCCGACAGCCACGCGACAACCAGATATGTGACGGCTCCCAGCGCATAGCAAGGGATCGTCAACACCTGGACCAATGAGTTAGACCAGCTAGGATTCAACGCCGCAATGATGGTCGGCAGAAACGTGCTGTAACCGTACAACATCGTATCGCAGCCAAACAGGGCGATGCAGAACGCCCACACCTTCCAATCCTTCAGTCCTTTGCGTACATCGGCCCAATGGAATTCCTCGGCACTCCTCGTGTGGCCCTCTTGCTGGGCGCGTCGTCGGTCCATCAACCGTTTTTCCTCCGCGTTCAGGTAGAACGCGGTCTGCGGATCGTCCGCAAGGAGCCACCAAACCGCAATGCCCAGCACAATGGTTGGCAGGCCTTCGATGATGAAAATCCACCGCCAGCCGGACATACCTTCAGTGCCATCCATGCCCCCGATGGCGAAGGCAAGGAGACCACCACATGCCCCGGCGAGAGCGGCCGAGACAAAAAGGTAGCCGATGCGGAGAGCCAGCTCTTTCTTGGTGTAAAAGAGTGTGAGATAGATGGCCAGACCCGGAAACAGGCCGCCCTCGACGGCGCCCAAAAGAAGACGCAAGGCGATGAGCGACGGGTATGAATTCACGAAACCCATGGCCATCGCGATGACGCCCCATGCGACGGTAATGGAACTGATCCAGCGGGAAGGGCGGAAGGCTTTCAGGACGAGGTTGGAGGGGAGCTCGGAGGCGATGTAGGTCGCGAAGAGAACCGAGACGGCCGTGTTGAATTGCTGCGAGGTGATGGAGAGATCCTCCTCCAGGTGGTATAGGCGAGCGTTTCCAATGTTCACCCGGTCGAGGAAGGAGAGGAGGTAGAGCAACATCACGACTGGGATGATGTACAAGTCCAGTTTGCGGACCAGCTTGCGTTCGGCGTGAGCGTCGATAGGGATGTAAGCATCATCATGCGGGTCCTGTTTTGCCTGGACCACGGATGGTTTGTCCGGGATGGACGGAGACCGCACCGTATCGAACGCTTTCTCTTCGGATATATCCACCATTTTGAGACTGTCTTTTTTGTCACTGATTTTCCAGTGGTTGATTTCAATTGTGACGTCCCCGAATGAAGGCAACTGAATGAATTCCGTGCCCTTTTTGATTGATGATAAAAAAAGGTTGGTTCCTCGAAGCCAATTGACTATGAGTCAAAATCGACCTTCTCGACCGATGTCAGTTGAGATGTTCTAGCCTTCAACCCCAGCCGATTGAACCTCAAATCCGAAATGCAATTTCGTGAGCATGCTCAATAGCTAGCCTGTGCTTCTATGCAAGCAGCACCCCAAAAGCCGAGGATAGGCTATTGGCAGTATACGTCGAAGGTGTTTCACAAGCTTCACCACGCTATGGCCGTAGCTATTGAAGATTTTTGACAGCCACGAAATTGCCGGTACGGAGCAGTTTGGCACAAAGAGAGATGGGGGGATTTGGAAACGGAAGAGATAAGGCAAAATGGGGTCTCCCCGCCACCAGTCGTACCAGTCTGATGAAGCTCGGGAGGGCTAGCTGTTGCTGGTTAGTATGACATTTCTGTTCCGGCCTTTGATTTCTAATTTTGATTTGGTGGTGCACAGGTGGGGACAGTGCCGCTTGTTCACTGTTCAGGGACCAACAGGATTCAGGACATGACAATTAAGCTCCATAAACTTTAGAACCCTAAGGGCGGAGAGACCCCATTTTCAGCTGCAATGGTGCTCTCCAGTGTCAAAATCGGTTGGGCTCTACTAGGACACATCTCTAGTCGAGCGAGTATCAATCAGAATGGGAGACGTCAGAGAACATGCACAGGACTGGAGGATCACGTGGAACATCTGTTGCTCCATTTCTAACCATATAAACTCCCAATAACACGCATGACGTAGGCAAAGCAAGCAATGGAGTTTAAAACAACAACATAAATCGAACGCCAGATCATCTCTAAGAGAGGCGACCCGGTTATTCATGTTTGAGGTAAACCCGGGACGACGCCCGTCGCCCTTGCAGGAGACACCTGCTCTTATTTCGCTCTGTAACCTACACGTCCTCGTCGTTTTGCCACCAGCTCCAGGGGGGCTGCAAATCCATCATGCGTCAAACCCGGTAGCTGCCCCAAATGAATATAATCGCGCGCGAAAACGGAACGGGAGCCTTGCTGGAACAAAATCAGAATCGACCCTGTCTCTTAGAAGCACGCTGCGCTTCCGCTAGCAGCACGCCAAACGATCCGTGAATAAACCATACATTTACAACTCGTCGTGGCCGTCGTCGTCCTCGCCCACCGCAGCCTTGACGGCCTCAGCGGCGTGCCCGGCGGCGTTCTTGACCGCCTCCTTCGCCTTCTCGGCAGCGTCCTCGCCATCCTCGTCGGCTTCTGAGGCAGCGCGAGCTTGCACGGGAATCTGAGCGTCGTCACCAGCCGCCGCGGCCTCGTCACCGTCGGCAATGACGTCGACCTTCCACTTGCCATTGTCGCGGACAAAGGCAGCGAGATCCTCGACGGTGCGGCTGCCGGAGTATTCGACGGGCGAATCCTTGGCACCTGCGGCGTACAGCTTGATGGTCGGGAAGCCTTGGATCTCATCGGGAACATCGTTGGCGGTGGCATCGACCTTGGCGATGACGACCTTGGAGCTGTGGGACTTCTTGAAGAGAGCACCAAGCTCCTCGTACTTGGGTGCCAAACTAAGATTTTGTGAGCACATACATCCAAGTGTCAATTTTGAAGGGGAACATACGACTTGCAGTGGCCACACCAGGGAGCATAGAACTCGATCAAGACATCCTTCTCATCATCGAGGACGATATCGTTATAGTTGTGGGCAACCACGACGGTGACCGGACCATCCTGGTTCTCCGGAATCGGCTCCGACTTGATGCTGGGAGCAACCTCGCCGGCAATAAAGTCGCCAACGAACTTGCCAATTTCCTTGGCGGTGATCTTCTTGCTCTGGTCGTAAGGGAACTTTTTGTTGTTGTGGACATCCTGGATAGCGAAGGCGGGCCACGTGCCGATCTCAAGGTTGAGGTTGCCGGCGTGCTGGCCGAAAGCCTTGGCGTCAATGGTGGCGAAGTTGACGGCGCCCTTGTGCTTCTCAGCAACGGATTTGAGTTCAGTAGCGAGCTGTTCACGCTCCTCTGGGGTCTCGGCGAAGATGTAAGCGAGCGGGAGATCGGCCTTAAATCGAAGGCGTTAGTAATGTGCAAATCAGAATATTTATACAAGTACTCACGGCGATGTAGCCAGCATAAGTCTCCGGGCCAACCTCACCAACGAGAGGAGTGGCAGAGCTGGTGGTGAACTTCTCGATCTTCTCCTTGTCGAATTTCTCCTCGAATGTGTTTTTACCCTCGTCGAATGATTTGTAAAGAACGATGGCGGGGTGCTTGACACCCTCAGCCTTAGCCACTGAAGCATCGCTCGTGGAACCGAACAGATAGTCATCACGCTGAGCTTCGGCAACCGACTGGAAAGTCTCCTTCGATGCCTTGTCGTCGTCGGCGAAATAACCGACAACGACAACCTTGTCGGCGGTCTTGAACTCTTCGAGGGTATCTTTGGTGAGGGCGGAAACGGCAGGAAGAGCCTGCTTGGTCATGTAGGAGACGATCGCGGGAGCTTTCCGCGCGCCGCTATATGCTGAGACGTTATCTGATCCACGGAAGACCTTAAGAGTGGGATAGCCCTCGACGCCATATTGTTGGCAAAGCTCGGCCTCCTCTGTGCAGTCCACTTTCGCGATTGGGATGTTTTTCTCCTTTAGTATCGTTGCGGCCTCCTCGTACTCGGGTGCAAGCGCCTTGCAGTGGCCGCACCATGGTGCAAAGACTGATAACCCGAAAGCATTAGCGTATGTCCTTCTGCTGTTGCCTGCATAACGATTGCGGCCGTTTGCTTGGGGAATACTCACACTCTGCAAGGACGAGGTCATGCTCCGCAACGAAGGCGGCGAAGGTATCCTTCTTCAGGTCATGGACATCGGAAGCTGCAGCAATGGACGCAGCGGCCAGCAAGCCGGCTGCAATGTTTGCAAATGACCGCATATTCAAGGACCGCTATGCAACGAAATGTGGCAGAAGATTGCGAGCTCTTCGATGAGCAGGTTGTGGAAACCCGGGGTATCAGAAAGTCAAATGGGGTGGAATTGAAAGAAGAAAGGGGGAATTGTATGGAGGGAACTTAAGAAAAGATCCAAGTGTCGGGAGGGGACAGATTGATAGATATTAGAAATGTACGGAGTTATGATGGAGCAGTTGGATGGCGATGGAAAGGCAAGGTGGCAGCTACGATTCGGGACTAGCTCCTTCGTGTTCCAACCTGTAGTGTTTATTGTGGCGTTCATTGTGGCGTGGTTGGAGCCGACGTGAGGCGTCAAGGCATGAATGAACCCTGCAGGTCAGCATCATCTGTTGTTGTTCCCCTGAATGCAACTCCACACGTGACACATCCCTTTGAATTCCTTTGGTCTCTCTCTTCCCTTTTCCAATCATCACACGGATACAGTCATAATGATTACATTAGATACATTATTAATTCTCCCAACTTGCTACCTCATGTTTGGAGCAAAAGGATCCGTAATCCGTCTGTTCTAGACGCATTAATACACTTTAGGACACATGTCCATCTCTATTCCTCCAGGATCTCTTAATATTGCCACACTCTATTTATTGACACCACAAACGGCCTACTCAATTCCTCTCGTATCCTGCGCAATTTATTCCGGCTTCCGTAAGGTGCATGGATTAATGGCACCTCTCAAGTTTGATTCAAGTTCATCGTGTTATTCGTGACTATCAAATAGCCGTTTCGAAGTCGTCTCAAAGTGTGTATGTCTTATATTCTAGTTAGTACCCAGCGTTCGCTCTACAGGTGCATTCACTCATTGATATCATGTCTGTGTAAACGCTGAGTGGAGTTTTTTCATACTGAATGACTGTACTGTGATTTGTAGTGGATCAAGTTTCCCTTTCCTACAGATTCCATTCCAATTTTATTGCCTTTTCTGCGTCCCTATCGAATTTGTTATTTTCAAGCAGTCAGCCGATATCAATCAACTGACATACGCAAGAGATGATGGAACTTGGTTACTATCAAACCCCGGTGGCTTTGCAATGGAACTGTGCAAAAATCAATTTCCAGGAATCGGGTTCGAGAATACATTGATTCCTTGAAGAGGCCGTGACTTACCGCTTGCCTGGGTTTGGGCTGGGTCTTGAGCAACGCAAAGTTCGGCTTGACCTCATCCAACCCCGAGAACTTGATATGGGTTTCCACACTCGGCCAACCCACTAGGGCCACAAGCACTTTGACCTTGTTCCCTTCTTTCTCATGTTCACCGTCCGCCCAGCCGTACACTGCGCCGGTTCCGCCTAGACTAGTTGCAACCGGTTTGACGACTTCCACGAAGGCCAGGAACTCTCCCACGATTGCACTGCGCTGACTTTCAGTGCTGACGGCCTCCACGTCATAAGCATTGATCAAAACCTCAGTAACACCGGAAGTGATGACCGGTTCGGGGGACGCGTTGAATACCACGTCGTACTGTTGGATACTAGCACCATCAATGTATTGCAGTATGGCTGGGCGAAGAACATTCACGAAGTCTTCACTCTGCGTAAATTTCAGACGAGCCTCGGCAGACTCCCATTCTGGTTTACACGTCAGGACGGTACCTCGCCCTTTGTCGAGCGACAATGGTCCCTTTCCTGACTCAGGCTGGTGCATTCACGAACGAAAGATGCCACTCCTTGCTGGTTCTCGATCTGCGGGCCAGAAAAGGCGCCTCTGAAGCCTGCTGCTTTGCTCGCTCCGGAATAGATCTCTTGCAATGCCTTCGCAGCAGGATTGCCGTCCGCGGATATGACACCTGCATCTGGTTGGAGGGTTGCGACGAGAACTTCGGTGGAATGCATGGCGTAGCCGCGCTTTTGTGCCCCTTTTCTGATGGATTCTTTGGTTTTGAAGTGGTCGTGGACAAGAAACCGCTGTCAATGTATCTCGAGATGGCACTCCTCGTTTATATACCTCGAATGCAAGTCACGTAAGCGCTATGACGAGCTGGAGTGCAGAGTGTTATCTTCGCCCCCAAATATCGTAGCCTATAACGTATTCCACAAGCGAGCGGCGCACCCCCTTTTACTAACAAATTCGGTTTCAATATCTCAACAACCACTGAATAATATAACCTGAAAACTTGGAATCATACTTTTCTAGTCATTCCTAGCTTACTATTGAATTTTCAGAGCTCTGGCACGAACATTTATAAAGATATAGAGGTTTGGCCCATAAATCTTGTCAAGAAGTAGGTATCTCGATATCTATACAAGCTAGTGCTCTGATATTTTAATATGAAGCTAGGAATGACTAGGAAAGCATAATTCCAAGTTTTCAGGTTATATTATTCAGTGGTTGTTGAGATATTGAAACCGAATTTGTTAGTAAAAGGGGGTGCGCCGCTCGCTTGTATGCGCCGCTCGCTTGTGGAATACGTTAGTAGTTGGGATGAATTAATAATCCCTCCTCGTCAGCATTTCCTGTGATTTAGCTTACTAATAGTCTGTTCGGATTGCTGCGGATGCATGTATCAACGATCGCCTTATTAACTTTATGCTCGGTGATTTGGTTACTGTATAACAAGGTGGTACCCTCGTTTCGCAGAAGTGTAGCATTCACCTTTGGTCTTTCAACTAACGAGAAAACCGAGCGGTTGACCTAGCATGAGATATTAAGAATGCACACTATGGACAGAATTTTGCCTAGTACTACAGATGTGTCGTAGTCGATGCATAATTTATTTATGCTACATGCCAGGTTTGTGTACATGCGGTTACGAAGTATCTATGATGCTCATATTCATGGTTTGGTTTGGGGGCCACCGAGTGGAAACATGCCTCTAGGCCACCCAATATCAGCGTTTCCTACACAATTTAGACGCCAATGAATAAGCTACGAGGAACCTTGGAATAGGGTAATACTCCGTACCTGATACTTCGGTACGGATCATCGAACACAACCTTGCGGAGAGGTCTGTATAAATTCCAAACTCGAGACGCATTGAAATCATAAAAATTCCACTGAATGTGCGCTAAATGAAAGGACTCGATGAATGATAACAATAGACTAGTGTGCGGACGAAATGTAATACTTGATAGGAGATAGAGAGAGCAATGACCTTATAGGTGAAAGAACACCGCCTGATTGGGAATCGAGTACCGGGCAACTTCGAATCTTTCACTGGAAAAGCCGTACATGCTACATCACCACTGAGAGCTTTCCGCAAAGGAGCCCCAAACAGTGACTCCGAATGAGTGGTCTGAACGACACTGCAGGAGACACATGGTAGGAAAATGGAGCCAAAGAGAAACAACGGTCATCACTTTGCTTTTGCCAGAGAAAATAAGGCTCATCGATGTCGTCCGAAAAGGAAGGGTTAAAATCTATACCTAAAAGTAGAGACAACCCCACCGGGGTAATGCAAGACAATCCTTGCAGTATATAGTTATCCGAAGGGAAGGTCAGGAATATCAAAGATGCTCCTCTCAACGCCATCCCAGCTTTTCCAATAGGCTTCAAACCCGAATATAAAGCATAAACTTAAAAGCTGAACAGCCCGCTTCTCCGCTTTCCAAAGGGGTAAACAATCAAAGCGCTCAAGAACAGGCCGACCGAAATCCCAATGGCAACTTGAATCACACTGTACAAAACATTGAACGCCCCCGAGTTAACACCGCCCATCTGATCCGATGCCCCGCCGGTCGAGCTGTCTGTAACATTCTCCGTGAGCTGATCCGCAGACGTAACGCCCGCAAGCAGCGACCCCCCGGCAGCGAGGCCTGAGGGTACCTGGACGAAGATAGCCGGGAGCATCGCGGCGGCAGCAAGACCGTAGGCCACCTTCCAGGTGCGGTTGGGACGACGCGGTTCACTGCTACCAGGACTTCCGGGATTCGGAGTGTCTGGCGAGGACGACGACTCTGTGTCGAGAGCCAGTGAAGCTTGCCTCTCGATGTCGGAGACCCGCCGTTGGGATGCGAATGGAAAAGTCGGTTTCTCTCCAGGTTCTTTGGGGGGGAATAATCTTTGTTCGACCTTGAAGGCTCTTTTCCACGCCCACCGCAACACCTTGTCCCAGTGCCGACCGAGGCGAGAGTAAAGATTTGCGAGGACGCCGATGCAAAGGGCACCCAGCGTGTTGCTGACCTGCGCGTTTTCGATGAAGTACTGGGCGGAGTAGAAATTGGCTAGGTAGCCACAAAACGCAATGAAAATCATGAGAGGCATTTGTCGCCAGTGGGCTTGATTGATAATGCAGAGGCAAAGCGCGAATAGAGGGACAAATAAAAAATACCACTCTTTACGCATAGGATCATGGCACGTTGTGTCGGACGTCGCATTTTTGTCGATCGCGCCGTAAATGACCGAGCCGATCATGATACCGTATCCGAGGAATAAGGTGTAGATTAATGCATACACCATGCGGACGGAGCCAGCGACGATGTTGTGCGATTGAAGCTCGAGTGAGCTGCAGAGGACCATATAACCAGGAAGAATCAGTGCAATGGATGCCTGAGCCAATGCGGAGAAACAGAATAGATTTCCGTTCTTGAGAGACCCAAATGCTCGAGAGAGAAATGATGTGATCAAAGCGACCGTAATCTCGAAAACGTTGGCATAGAGATCGTTCGTCGGAGATATAACGAGCTGTAAGATCCCCAAAATGCAGCCCAGTAGAAAGGCTATAGGCAAATCGATGAAGCGACCCTGGAAAGCAAATGGTGCAACACATGCCGACGCGAGTCCGTACACGGGAATCCGTATCAATGATTTGAACTTGGGTCTTCGTTTGAACACCTCTTCTAGGCGAAAAAGAGCTTCATCCACCGATGCCTTGTCATGGACAATCATCTTGTATATGTCGTGGACATCGCGAAGCTTTCCAAGATTGACTCCTTGATTCGCCCGAACAATCTTGACTTCGGTCGTGTGGGTCGAACTATCATCGAACGAAATGATCATGCAGCCGGGGATATAGAGGAACTGGCCCTCGATCTCCAGCACTCGACTGGTCATGATGAGATACTCCTCCAGCCGGTGGGTTGGCGCGCCATACAGCATCAAGGCTCGACAAAGCTTGACGAGATATCTCTGGCGTGACATGACTTCGGCAATATGGATCGTAATCTTGTACTTATCCGCGTCATACTTGGTAGGTTTGGCCTGCTTGGCTGCCTTTCCCAATAGATCCCCGGTTTTTTTCTTTTTCGATTTCTTGTGATGGTCTTGCTTGGGATTGTCGTGCGTGAGCGTTTCGGAAATTTCGCTACTAATGGTACCAGAACCAGGAGTTGCTAGCATGGACGTCGTCCCCACGAGACCAGCGAGGGCGGAGCTCGAGTGATTTCCGAGCAGACCGAATAGGTGTTTTCGAGGTTTCTGACGAGGGGTGCTCGGGCCCGATTCACGAGGAGTACTCGGGCCAGACTCTGGAGGGGAGTGATGAGGTGTCCTCCCTGGCGACGCGGCTGCGCTCTCAACTTTGCTTTCCGTCTCAGGCGCGTAGAGCTTGAGCAAGCTTGATAGGACACCGGTCTGATATGTCTTGGGGTGAGGAATATTTTCTTCCCGATCTTGATCCCCTCTATTAGGGGTTACCTGGCCCGACTTGGGCGGTCGGTAGCGAGAAGGTCTCCTGGACTTAAAGTCTGTCTTTGTGTGACTTCGTACCAATTTTTGGGCGGCTTTCTGGGAGCCCCTCCGATTAGCGAGCCCCTCGGACTCGTCAGCCGTATCCATGCCGGAGTCGTCCGCAGTCTTCGCGCCAGACTCATCCGATTGCTCCTGGAATGGATTGTTCGGATCGGTATCCCGAGCAGCAGCAAGGTCGGCAGAAAACTTTCGAGCTCCTGACGTGGAGTGTCTTTTGATGCTTTGCGCAAGACGCTCGGCTCTTTCTTTCGCTTCGATACCCGATCTCTGATGTCGATCGGAGTCCATGGGTGGGGATTGTGGCGATGGAGACGAGGGATCGGGGTCCTGATATCCGGAGGATTTCCGCAGTGCTGGTCGAGGCTTCCTAGGTACATACTTTCGTCCAAACAGTTTATGGATATCTTTCGACAGTTCCTCATGGGTACTGGACGGTGGTTCTTCAGGCGTCTCATGTGGACTGCCATCGGTGTTCTCGCGGGCCGCATCGTCAAAGGGATCATCTAACGTACGCGGATCCTCTGAGAAGCCAACTTTTTTCTTTCCCTTGCGGCCAGATTTCGAGCCTTCTTGCGGGCCATCGTTATACGGAGGAGACGGCGACTGGCTCGAACCTTGACTCTGACTACGCTCCCCGGCCATTTGCGGGATGCGAGAAAAGAGCACGGGAATTAGGAGAAATTAAGAACAAAGTATCGGATACCACCACATTGAAATGGCAGAGGCTATTGTACAGCAATGAACCAAGGCAGAGAGAGGAAAGAACAGGTTGGAATCGTGAAATATCAGCCCAGGGTTCATTGTGGACGGGTACGTCAGGAACGCAGGATGGGATGGAGTAAAGAATGATGCAACCACGCGCAACTGAACAATGAAAGCACCATACACAGTAGGGAAGAAATGGTGGGTACTTCCCTTTCTGTTTACCTACCCTCCGCTCACCGAAGTCTAGACCCGTGAACAGCCGTGGGGGTAGGCTTGTTGATCTAATTCATGGGTCGCGAACCCATAGTTCCCACTGTCAACAAGATAGAGTTGTATACTTTGTATGCAACAGAACATGAACCAGCAGAGACTGGTATTTGGTGGAAACACCCGGAGACCATGACAGTTCAAGGCAGGAGCCAATGGAAATGTCCCTTTGATACAGATGCATCGAGTCTCAGTATCTACTCAGCAGAGAACTCAGTAGAAGCGCGTCCAGGGGGCATATATGAGGCTGGTGATAGCATCGGAGGTTTTTCGAAAGTGGAGGTTTTCGACGGAGCGCATTGGAAATCCAGACTATACAGCAGAGCACAGGCAGGATTAGATAACTCAAGCTGGATAAATGGAATCCTTCATACGTACCAGGCATCATGAATTCATGACCAATGGCCTGAGTACTTACTGAGTGAGATCCTGAGAAATGTCGTGATGGTGACGTATTAGGATCCACGTTCAGTTTGAAACGCGATGCATCAAGATTCAAGAACTCAACACACAACAAAAAGTACAAAATAAAACCATCTACAACACGGAGTGACCAATCGGATCGTGATGTGTACAGGAGTAATAGGAACAAATAACACAGACCCATAATTCCTCCATGGACTGTATGTAAATAAAGAGTATTAAAAACATTGCCTCTCTCCTGTATATCACGTGATCCCCCTTAAGTGTGCCAAAAGGAGCCAGAAATTGTGGGTACGCCCGGTGAGATTCAGTGGCTGTGTATTTTCTATGGAGAATACTCCAATCGAGCAAAGATCACGTATGAGAGAGAAGAGCGATGTATTGGATGTATCTAAAATACAGCGTGAAGAGATAGAGATAGACATCTCCGGGTGAAGCTCCTTTCACACCCTGCTGTGCTCCATTCACACCCGTACCCCGCTCCATTTACACCCTACC